ATGGAAGCAATAGCTCAACACACTCTATACACTGGTTCAATGCTGCACAGTGGAGAAATGTTTTCACCTTTCTTATTCTTGATTTTTCACATCAGCATCCTTGTCTAGCAGTGCTTGTATCATTTCATGAGAGTGGTTTTCATTTGACAAAAACTGCAATGTAAAGCTGTATCACCATAGCTATCCTGTCCATTTACATCTGACAATGGAAGCAATAGCTCAACACATTCCATACACTGCTTCCTTGCTGCACAGTGGAGAGGTGTTTCACCTTTCTTGTTCTTGATTTTCACATCAGCCTCCTTGTCTAGCAGTGCTTGTATCACATCATGAGAGTGGGGTTCATTTGACAAGAAACTGCAATGTAAACCTGATATCACCATCACTATTCTGGGCATTTACATCTTACAATGGAAGCAATAGTTTAACACATTCCATACACTGCTTCCTTGCTGCACGGTGGAGAAGTGTTTCACCTTTCTTGTTCTTGATTTTCACATCAGCCTCCTTGTCTAGCAGTGCTTGTATCACATCATGAGAGTGGGGTTCATTTGACAAGAAACTGCAATGTAAAGCTGTATCACCATCACTATTCAGGGCATTTACATCTGACAATGGGAACAACAGTTTAACACACTCCATACACTGGTTTCATTGCTGCCGCGTGGAGAAGTGTTTGACCTTTCTTGTTCTTGATTTTCACATCAGCCTCCTTGTCTAACAGTGCTTTTATCATTTCATGAGTGGTTTTCATTTGACAAGAAACTGCAATGTAAGCTGTATCACCAGCAGCTATCCTGGGCATTTTACATCTGACAATGGGGCAAAAGCTCTACACCTCCAGACATTGGTTCAATGCTGCACAGTGGAGAGTGTTTCACCTTTCTTGTTTCTGATTCCTGCATCAGCTCCCTTCTCCAGCAGTGCTTTGTATCACTTCATGAGAGTGGGGATCATATGACAACAAAAAGCAATGTAAGCTGCATCACCATCACTATTCAAGGGCATTTACATCTGACAATGGAAGCAATAGCTCAACACACTCTATACACTGGTTCAATGCTGCACAGTGGAGAAGTGTTTCACCTTTCTTGTTCTTGATATTCACATCAGCCTCCATGTCTAGCGGTGCTTGTATCACATCATGAGAGTGGTTTCATTTGACAACAAACTGCAATGTAAGGCTGTATCACCATCACTATTCAGGGCATTTACATCTGACAATGGAAGCAATAGCTCAACACACCCTATACACTGGTTCAATGCTGCACAGTGGAGAAATGTTTCACCTTTCTTATTCTTGATTTTTCATCAGCATCCTTGTCTAGCAGTGCTTGTATCATTTCATGAGAGTGGTTTTCATTTGACAAAAACTGCAATGTAAAACATGTATCACCATAGCTATCCTGGCAATTTACATCTGACAATGGGAGCAACAGTTCAACACATTCCATACACTGCTTCCTTGCTGCACAGTGAGAGAAGTGTTTCACCTTTCTTGTTCTTGATTTTCACATCAGCCTCCTTGTTCTAGCAGTGCTTGTATCACATCATGAGAGTGGGGTTCATTTGACAAGAAACTGCAAATGTAAACCTGTATCACCATCACTATTCAGGGCATTTACATCTGACAATGGAAGCAATAGCTTAACACACTCCATACACTGGTTCCATCCTGCACGGTGGAGAAGTGTTTCATCTTTCTTGTTCTTGATTTTCACATCAGCCTCCTTGTCTAGCAGTGCTTGTATCACTTCATGAGAGTGGTTTTCATTTGACAACAAACTGCAATGTAAAGCTGTATCACCATCACTATTCAGGGCATTTACATCTGACAATGGAAGCAATAGCTCAACACACTCCACACACTGGTACGATGCTGCACAGTGGAGAAGTGTTTCACCTTTCTTATTCTTGATTTTCACATCAGCCTCCTTGTCTAGCAGTGCTTGTATCATTTCATGAGAGTGGTTTTCATTTGACAAGAAACTGCAATGTAAAGCTGTATCACCATAGCTATCCTGGGCATTTACATCTGACAATGGGAGCAACAGTTCAACACAATCCATACACTGCTTCCTTGATGCACGGTGGAGAAGTGTTTCACCTTTCTTGTTCTTGATTTTCACATCAGCATCCTTGTCTAGCAGTGCTTGTATCACATCATGAGAGTGGGGTTCATTTGACAACAAACTGCAATGTAAAGCTGTATCACCATCACTATCCTGGGCATTTACATCTGACAATGGGAGCAACAGTTTAACACACTCTATACACTGGTTCATTGCTGCACAGTGGAGAAGTGTTTGACATTTCTTGTTTTTGATTTTCACATCAGCCTCCTTGTCTAACATGGCGTTTCATTATCATTTCATGAGAGTGGTTTTCATTTGATAAAGAAACTGCAATGTAAAGCTGTATCACCATCACTATTCAGGGCATTTACATCTGACAATGGAAGCAATAGCTCAACACACTCCATACACTGGATCAATGCTGCACAGTGGAGAAGTGTTTCACCTTTCTTGTTCTTGATTTTCACATCAGCCTCCTTGTCTAGCAGTGCTTGTATCATTTCATGAGAGTGGTTTTCATTTGACAAGAAACTGCAATGTAAAGCTGTATCACCATAGCTATCCTGGGCATTTACATCTGACAATGGGAGCAACAGTTTAACACACTCTATACACTGGTTCATTGCTGCACAGTGGAGAAGTGCTTGACATTTCTTGTTTTTGATTTTCACATCAGCCTCCTTGTCTAACAGCGCTCGTATCATTTCATGAGAGTGGTTTTCATTTGACAAGAAACTGCAATGTAAAGCTGTATCACCATCACTATTCAGGGCATTTACATCTGACAATGGAAGCAATAGCTCAACACACTCCATACACTGGATCAATGCTGCACAGTGGAGAAGTGTTTCACCTTTCTTGTTCTTGATTTTCACATCAGCCTCCTTGTCTAGCAGTGCTTGTATCATTTCATGAGAGTGGTTTCATTTGACAAAAACTGCAATGTAAAGCTGTATCACCATAGCTATCGGGCATTTACATCTGACAATGGAGCAAAGCTCTACACACTCCAGACATTAAGTTGTGCTGCACAGTGGAGAAGTGTTTCACCCTTCTTGTTCTTGATATTCACATCAGCCTCCTTGTCTAGCAGTGCTTGTATCACTTCATGATAGTGGTTTTCATTTGACAACAAACTGCAATGTAAGGCTGTATCACCATCACTATTCAGGGCATTTACATCTGACAATGGAAGCAATAACTCAACACACTCTATACACTGGTTCAATGCTGCACAGTGGAGAAATGTTTCACCTTTCTTATTCTTGATTTTCACATCAGCATCCTTGTCTAGCAGTGCTTGTATCATTTCATGAGAGTGGTTTTCATTTGACAAAAAACTGCAATGTAAAGCTGTATCACCATAGCTATCCTGTCCATTTACATCTGACAATGGAAGCAATAGCTCAACACATTCCATACACTGCTTCCTTGCTGCACAGTGGAGAAGTGTTTCACCTTTCTTGTTCTTGATTTTCACATCAGCCTCCTCCTTGTCTAAGCAGTGCTTGTATCACATCATGAGAGTGGGGTTCATTTGACAAGAAACTGCAATGTAAAGCTGTATCACCATCACTATTCTGGGCATTTACATCTGACAATGGAAGCAATAGCTTAACACATTCCATACACTGCTTCCTTGCTGCACGGTGGGAGAAGTGTTTCACCTTTCTTGTTCTTGATTTTCACATCAGCCTCCTTGTCTAGCAGTGCTTGTATCACATCATGAGAGTGGGGTTCATTTGACAAGAAACTGCAATGTAAACCTGTATCACCATCACTATTCAGGGCATTTACATCTGACAATGGGAACAACAGTTTAACACACTCTATACACTGGTTCATTGCTGCACGGTGGAGAAGTGTTTGACCTTTCTTGTTCTTGATTTTCACATCAGCCTCCTTGTCTAACAGTGCTTTTATCATTTCATGAGAGTGGTTTTCATTTGACAAGAAACTGCAATGTAAAGCTGTATCACCATAGCTATCCCGGGCATTTACATCTGACAATGGGAGCAAAAGCTCTACACACTCCAGACATTGGTTCAATGCTGCACAGTGGAGAAGTGTTTCACCTTTCTTGTTTCTGATTCCTGCATCAGCTCCCTTCTCCAGCAGTGCTTGTATCACTTCATGAGAGTGGGGATCATATGACAACAAAAAGCAATGTAAAGCTGTATCACCATCACTATTCAGGGCATTTACATCTGACAATGGAAGCAATAGCTCAACACACTCTATACACTGGTTCAATGCTGCACAGTGGAGAAGTGTTTCACCTTTCTTGTTCTTGATATTCATCAGCCTCCATGTCTAGCAGTGCTTGTATCACATCATGAGAGTGGTTTTCATTTGACAACAAACTGCAATGTAAGGCTGTATCACCATCACTATTCAGGGCATTTACATCTGACAATGGAAGCAATAGCTCAACACACCCTATACACTGGTTCAATGCTGCACAGTGGAGAAATGTTTCACCTTTCTTATTCTTGATTTTCACATCAGCATCCTTGTCTAGCAGTGCTTGTATCATTTCATGAGAGTGGTTTTCATTTGACAAAAAACTGCAATGTAAAGCTGTATCACCATAGCTATCCTGGCAATTTACATCTGACAATGGGAGCAACAGTTCAACACATTCCAGACATTGGTCCAATGCTGCACAGTGGAGAAGTGTTTCACCTTTCTTGTTCTTGATATTCACATCAGCCTCCTTGTCTAGCAGTGCTTGTATCACTTCATGATAGTGGTTTTCATTTGACAACAAACTGCAATGTAAGGCTGTATCACCATCACTATTCAGGGCATTTACATCTGACAATGGAAGCAATAGCTCAACACACTCCATACACTGGATCAATGCTGCACAGTGGAGAAGTGTTTCACCTTTCTTGTTCTTGATTTTCACATCAGCCTCCTTGTCTAGCAGTGCGTATCATTTTCATGAGAGTGGTTTTCATTTGACAAAAAACTGCAATGTAAAGCTGTATCACCATAGCTATCCCGGGCATTTACATCTGACAATGGGAGCAAAAGCTCTACACACTCCAGACATTGGTCCAATGCTGCACAGTGGAGAAGTGTTTCACCTTTCTTGTTCTTGATATTCACATCAGCCTCCTTGTCTAGCAGTGCTTGTATCACTTCATGATAGTGGTTTTCATTTGACAACAAACTGCAATGTAAGGCTGTATCACCATCACTATTCAGGGCATTTACATCTGACAATGGAAGCAATAACTCAACACACTCTATACACTGGTTCAATGCTGCACAGTGGAGAAATGTTTCACCTTTCTTATTCTTGATTTTCACATCAGCATCCTTGTCTAGCAGTGCTTGTATCATTTCATGAGAGTGGTTTTCATTTGACAAAAAACTGCAATGTAAAGCTGTATCACCATAGCTATCCTGTCCATTTACATCTGACAATGGAAGCAATAGCTCAACACATTCCATACACTGCTTCCTTGCTGCACAGTGGAGAAGTGTTTCACCTTTCTTGTTCTTGATTTTCACATCAGCCTCCTTGTCTAGCAGTGCTTGTATCACATCATGAGAGTGGGGTTCATTTGACAAGAAACTGCAATGTAAAGCTGTATCACCATCACTATTCTGGGCATTTACATCTGACAATGGAAGCAATAGCTTAACACATTCCATACACTGCTTCCTTGCTGCACGGTGGAGAAGTGTTTCACCTTTCTTGTTCTTGATTTTCACATCAGCCTCCTTGTCTAGCAGTGCTTGTATCACATCATGAGAGTGGGGTTCATTTGACAAGAAACTGCAATGTAAACCTGTATCACCATCACTATTCAGGGCATTTACATCTGACAATGGGAACAACAGTTTAACACACTCTATACACTGGTTCATTGCTGCACGGTGGAGAAGTGTTTGACCTTTCTTGTTCTTGATTTTCACATCAGCCTCCTTGTCTAACAGTGCTTTTATCATTTCATGAGAGTGGTTTTCATTTGACAAGAAACTGCAATGTAAAGCTGTATCACCATAGCTATCCCGGGCATTTACATCTGACAATGGGAGCAAAAGCTCTACACACTCCAGACATTGGTTCAATGCTGCACAGTGGAGAAGTGTTTCACCTTTCTTGTTTCTGATTCCTGCATCAGCTCCCTTCTCCAGCAGTGCTTGTATCACTTCATGAGAGTGGGGATCATATGACAACAAAAAGCAATGTAAAGCTGTATCACCATCACTATTCAGGGCATTTACATCTGACAATGGAAGCAATAGCTCAACACACTCTATACACTGGTTCAATGCTGCACAGTGGAGAAGTGTTTCACCTTTCTTGTTCTTGATATTCACATCAGCCTCCATGTCTAGCAGTGCTTGTATCACATCATGAGAGTGGTTTTCATTTGACAACAAACTGCAATGTAAGGCTGTATCACCATCACTATTCAGGGCATTTACATCTGACAATGGAAGCAATAGCTCAACACACCCTATACACTGGTTCAATGCTGCACAGTGGAGAAATGTTTCACCTTTCTTATTCTTGATTTTCACATCAGCATCCTTGTCTAGCAGTGCTTGTATCATTTCATGAGAGTGGTTTTCATTTGACAAAAAACTGCAATGTAAAGCTGTATCACCATAGCTATCCTGGCAATTTACATCTGACAATGGGAGCAACAGTTCAACACATTCCATACACTGCTTCCTTGCTGCACAGTGGAGAAGTGTTTCACCTTTCTTGTTCTTGATTTTCACATCAGCCTCCTTGTCTAGCAGTGCTTGTATCACATCATGAGAGTGGGGTTCATTTGACAAGAAACTGCAATGTAAACCTGTATCACCATCACTATTCAGGGCATTTACATCTGACAATGGAAGCAATAGCTTAACACACTCCATACACTGGTTCCATCCTGCACGGTGGAGAAGTGTTTCATCTTTCTTGTTCTTGATTTTCACATCAGCCTCCTTGTCTAGCAGTGCTTGTATCACTTCATGAGAGTGGTTTTCATTTGACAACAAACTGCAATGTAAAGCTGTATCACCATCACTATTCAGGGCATTTACATCTGACAATGGAAGCAATAGCTCAACACACTCCACACACTGGTTCGATGCTGCACGGTGGAGAAGTGTTTCACCTTTCTTATTCTTGATTTTCACATCAGCCTCCTTGTCTAGCAGTGCTTGTATCATTTCATGAGAGTGGTTTCATTTGACAAGAAACTGCAATGTAAAGCTGTATCACCATAGCTATCCTGGGCATTTACATCTGACAATGGGAGCAACAGTTCAACACAATCCATACACTGCTTTCCTTGATGCACGGTGGAGAAGTGTTTCACCTTTCTTGTTCTTGATTTTCACATCAGCATCCTTGTCTAGCAGTGCTTGTATCACATCATGAGAGTGGGGTTCATTTGACAACAAACTGCAATGTAAAGCTGTATCACCATCACTATTCAGGGCATTTACATCTGACAATGGAAGCAATAGCTCAACACACTCCATACACTGGATCAATGCTGCACAGTGGAGAAGTGTTTCACCTTTCTTGTTCTTGATTTTCACATCAGCCTCCTTGTCTAGCAGTGCTTGTATCATTTCATGAGAGTGGTTTTCATTTGACAAGAAACTGCAATGTAAAGCTGTATCACCATAGCTATCCTGGGCATTTACATCTGACAATGGGAGCAACAGTTTAACACACTCTATACACTGGTTCATTTGCTGCACAGTGGAGAAGTGTTTGACATTTCTTGTTTTGATTTTCACATCAGCCTCCTTGTCTAACAGCAGTGCTCAGTATCATTTCATGAGAGTGGTTTTCATTTGACAAGAAACTGCAATGTAAAGCTGTATCACCATCACTATTCAGGGCATTTACATCTGACAATGGAAGCAATAGCTCAACACACTCCATACACTGGATCAATGCTGCACAGTGGAGAAGTGTTTCACCTTTCTTGTTCTTGATTTTCACATCAGCCTCCTTGTCTAGCAGTGCTTGTATCATTTCATGAGAGTGGTTTTCATTTGACAAAAAACTGCAATGTAAAGCTGTATCACCATAGCTATCCCGGGCATTTACATCTGACAATGGGAGCAAAAGCTCTACACACTCCAGACATTGGTTCAATGCTGCACAGTGGAGAAGTGTTTCACCTTTCTTGTTCTTGATATTCACATCAGCCTCCTTGTCTAGCAGTGCTTGTATCACTTCATGATAGTGGTTTTCATTTGACAACAAACTGCAATGTAAGGCTGTATCACCATCACTATTCAGGGCATTTACATCTGACAATGGAAGCAATAACTCAACACACTCTATACACTGGTTCAATGCTGCACAGTGGAGAAATGTTTCACCTTTCTTATTCTTGATTTTCACATCAGCATCCTTGTCTAGCAGTGCTTGTATCATTTCATGAGAGTGGTTTTCATTTGACAAAAAACTGCAATGTAAAGCTGTATCACCATAGCTATCCTGTCCATTTACATCTGACAATGGAAGCAATAGCTCAACACATTCCATACACTGCTTCCTTTGCTGCACAGTGGAGAAGTGTTTCACCTTTCTTGTTCTTGATTTTCACATCAGCCTCCTTGTCTAGCAGTGCTTGTATCACATCATGAGAGTGGGGTTCATTTGACAAGAAACTGCAATGTAAACCTGTATCACCATCACTATTCTGGGCATTTACATCTGACAATGGAAGCAATAGCTTAACACATTCCATACACTGCTTCCTTGCTGCACGGTGGAGAAGTGTTTCACCTTTCTTGTTCTTGATTTTCACATCAGCCTCCTTGTCTAGCAGTGCTTGTATCACATCATGAGAGTGGGGTTCATTTGACAAGAAACTGCAATGTAAACCTGTATCACCATCACTATTCAGGGCATTTACATCTGACAATGGGAACAACAGTTTAACACACTCTATACACTGGTTCATTGCTGCACGGTGGAGAAGTGTTTGACCTTTCTTGTTCTTGATTTTCACATCAGCCTCCTTGTCTAACAGTGCTTTTATCATTTCATGAGAGTGGTTTTCATTTGACAAGAAACTGCAATGTAAAGCTGTATCACCATAGCTATCCCGGGCATTTACATCTGACAATGGGAGCAAAAGCTCTACACACTCCAGACATTGGTTCAATGCTGCACAGTGGAGAAGTGTTTCACCTTTCTTGTTTCACTGATTCACCATCAGCTCCCTTCTCCAGCAGTGCTTGTATCACTTCATGAGAGTGGGGATCATATGACAACAAAAAGCAATGTAAAGCTGTATCACCATCACTATTCAGGGCATTTACATCTGACAATGGAAGCAATAGCTCAACACACTCTCTATACACTGGTTCAATGCTGCACAGTGGAGAAGTGTTTCACCTTTCTTGTTCTTGATATTCACATCAGCCTCCATGTCTAGCAGTGCTTGTATCACATCATGAGAGTGGTTTTCATTTGACAACAAACTGCAATGTAAGGCTGTATCACCATCACTATTCAGGGCATTTACATCTGACAATGGAAGCAATAGCTCAACACACTCTATACACTGGTTCAATGCTGCACAGTGGAGAAGTGTTTCACCTTTCTTATTCTTGATTTTCACATCAGCATCCTTGTCTAGCAGTGCTTGTATCATTTCATGAGAGTGGTTTCATTTGACAAAACTGCAATGTAAAGCTGTATCACCATAGCTATCCTGGCAATTTTACATCTGACAATGGGAGCAACAGTTCAACACATTCCATACACTGCTTCCTTGCTGCACAGTGGAGAAGTGTTTCACCTTTCTTGTTCTTGATTTTCACATCAGCCTCCTTGTCTAGCAGTGCTTGTATCACATCATGAGAGTGGGGTTCATTTGACAAGAAACTGCAATGTAAACCTGTATCACCATCACTATTCAGGGCATTTACATCTGACAATGGAAGCAATAGCTAACACACTCCATACACTGGTTCCATGCTGCACGGTGGAGAAGTGTTTCACCTTTCTTGTTCTTGATTTTCACATCAGCCTCCTTGTCTAGCAGTGCTTGTATCATTTCATGAGAGTGGTTTTCATTTGACAAGAAACTGCAATGTAAAGCTGTATCACCATAGCTATCCTGGGCATTTACATCTGACAAATGGAAGCAAACAAAGCTCCACACCTCATACACTGGTTCAATGCTGCACAGTGGAGAAGTGTTTCACCTTTCTTGTTCTTGATTTTCACATCAGCCTCCTTGTCTAGCAGTGCTTGTATCACTTCATGAGAGTGGGGATCATATGACAACAAACTGCAATGTAAAGCTGTATCACCATCACTATTCAGGGCATTTACATCTGACATTGGAAGCAATAGCTCAACACACTCCATACACTGGTTCAATGCTGCACAGTGGAGAAGTGTTTCACCTTTCTTGTTCTTGATTTTCACATCAGCCTCCTTGTCTAGCAGTGCTTGTATCATTTCATGAGAGTGGTTTTCATTTGACAACAAACTGCAATGTAAAGCTGTATCACCATCACTATCCAGGGCATTTACATCTGACAATGGAAGCAATAGCTCAACACATTCCATACACTGGTTCAATGCTGCACAGTGGAGAAGTGTTTCACCTTTCTTGTTCTTGATTTTCACATCAGTCTCCTTGTCTAGCAGTGCTTGTATCATTTCATGAGAGTGGGTTTCATTTGACAAGAAACTGCAATGTAAAGCTGTATCACCATAGCTATCCCGGGCATTTACATCTGACAATGGAAGCAATAGCTCAACACACTCCATACACTGGTACGATGCTGCACAGTGGAGAAGTGTTTCACCATTCTTGTTCTTGAGTTTCACATCAGCCGCCTTATCTACCAATGCTTGTATTACTTTATGAGAGTGGGGTTCATTTGACAAGAAACTGCAATGTAAAGCTGTATCACCATCACTATTCAGGGCATTTACATCTGATAATGGAAGTAATAGCTTAACACACTCCATACACTGGTTAAAGGCTGCAGAGTGGAGAGGTGTTTCGCCTTTCTTGTTCTTGATTTTCACATCAGCCTCCTTGTCTAGCAGTGCTTGTATCACTTCATGAGAGTGGTTTTCATTTGACAACAAACTGGAAATGTAAAGCTGTATCACCATAGCTATCCTGGCCATTTACATCTGACAATGGAAGCAATAGCTTAACACACTCCAAACACTGGTTCAATGCTGCACGGTGGAGAAGTGTTTCACCTCTCTTGTCCTTGATTTTCACATCAGCCTCCTTGTCTAGCAGTGCTTGCATCACATCATGAGAGTGGGGTTCATATGATAAGAAACTGCAATGTAAAGCTGTATCACCATCACTATTCAGGGCATTTACATCTGACAATGGAAGCAATAGCTTAACACACTTCATACACTGGTTCCTTGCTGCACAGTGGAGAGCCGTTTCACCTTTCTTGTTCTTGATTTTCACATCAGCCTCCTTGTCTAGCAGTGCTTGTATCACATGAGAGTGGGGTTCATATGACAAGAAACTGTAATGTAAAGCTGTATCACCATCACTATTCAGGGCATTTACATCTGACAATGGAAGCAATAGCTTAACACACTCCATACACTCGTTCAATGCTGCACAGTGGAGAAGTGTTTCACCTTTCTTGTTCTTGATTTTCACATCAGCCTCCTTGTCTAGCAGTGCTTGTATCACTTCATGAGAGTGGGGATCAAATGACAAAAAACTGCAATGTAAAGCTGTATCACCATCACTATTCAGGGCATTTACATCTGACAATGGAAGCAATAGCTTAACACACTCCATACACTGGTACGATGCTGCAAGGTGGAGAAGTGTTTCACCTTTCTTGTTCTTGATTTTCACATCAGCCGCCTTATCTACCAGTGCTTGTATCACTTTATGAGAGTGGGGTTCATTTGACAGGAAACTGCAATGTAAAGCTGTATCACCATCATTATTCAGGGCATTTACATCTGACAATGGAAGTAATAGCTTAACACACTTCATACACTGGTTCAATGCTGCACGGTGGAGAGGTGTTTCACCTTTCTTGTTCTTGATTTTCACATCAGCCTCCTTGTCTAGCAGTGCTTGTATCACTTTATGAAAGTGGGGTCTGCATAACCAGGAACTGCAATGTAAAGCTGTATCACCATCACTATTCAGGGCATTTACATCTGACAATGGAAGTAATAGCTTAACACACTTCATACACTGCTTCCTTGCTGCACAGTGGAGAAGTGTTTCACCTTTCTTGTTCTTGATTTTCACATCAGCCTCCTTGTCTAGCAGTGCTTGTATAACTTCATGAGAGTGTTTTTTATTTGACAACAAACTGCAATGTAAAGCTGTACCACCATCACTATTCAGGGCATTTACATCTGACAATGGAAGCAATAGCTCAACACATTCCATACACTGCTTCCTTGCTGCACAGTGGAGAAGTGTTTGACCTTTCTTGTTCTTGATTTTCACATCAGCCTCCTTGTCTAGCAGTGCTTGTATCACTTCATGAGAGTGGGGTTCATTTGACAAGAAACTGCAATGTAAAGCTGTATCACCATCACTATTCAGGGCATTTACATCTGACAATGGAAGCAATAGCTCAACACACTCTATACACTGGTTGAATGCTGCACAGTGGAGAGATGTTTCACCTTCCTTATTCTTGATTTTCACATCAGCCTCCTTGTCTAGCAGTGCTTGTATCATTTCATGAGAGTGGTTTTCATTTGACAAGAAACTGCAATGTAAAGCTGTATCACCATCACTATCCTGGGCATTTACATCTGACAATGGGAGCAATAGCTCAACACACTCCATACACTGGTTCAATGCTGCACGGTGGAGAGGTGTTTCACCTTTCTTGTTCTTGATTTTCACATCAGCCTCCTTGTCTAGCAGTGCTTGTATAATTTTATGAAAGTGGGGTGTGCATGACCAGGAACTGCAATGTAAGGCTGTATCACCATCACTATCCTGGGCATTTACATCTGACAATGGAAGCAACAGCTTAACACACTCCATACACTGCTTCCTTGCTGCACAGTGGAGAGGTGTCTCATCGTCCTTGTTCAGGATTCCTACATCAGCCCCCTTCTCCAACAGTGCTTGTATCACATCATGAGAGTGGGATACATTTGACTGGAGCCTTAAGAGTAAAGCTGTTCTACCATCACCACCCTGGGTATTTACATTTGACAATGGCAGCAACAGCTCAACACACTCCATACATTGGTTCTGTGCTGCACAGTGAAGAGGTGTTTCACCTTTCTTGTTTTTGATTCCTGCATCAGCTCCCTTCTCCAGCAGTGCTTGTATCACATCATGAGAGTGGGATACATTTGACTGGAGACTTAAGAGTAAAGCTGTTCTACCATCACCAACCTGGGTATTTACATTTGACAATGGCAGCAACAGCTCAACACACTCCATACATTGGTTCTGTGCTGCACAGTGAAGAGGTGTTTCACCTTTCTTGTTTTTGATTCCTGCATCAGCTCCCTTCTCCAGCAGTGCTTGTATCACTTCATGAGAGTGAGGTTTATAAGACAAGACACTGCAATGCAAAGCTGTAGTACCATAGCTATCCTTGGCATTTACATCTGACACTGGGAGCAACAGCTCAACACATTCCAGACACTGGTTCAATGCTGCACAGTGGAGAAGTGTTTCACCTTTCTTGTTTCTGATTCCTGCATCAGCTCCCTTCTCCAGCAGTGCTTGTATCACATCATGAGAGTGGGATACATTTGACTGGAAACTTAAGAGTAAAGCTGTTCTACCATCACCACCCTGGGTATTTACATCTGACAATGGCAGCAACAGCTCAACACACTCCATACATTGGTTCTGTGCTGCACAGTGAAGAGGTGTTTCACCTTTCTTGTTTTTGATTCCTGCATCAGCTCCCTTCTCCAGCAGTGCTTGTATCACTTCATGAGAGTGAGGTTTATAAGACAAGACACTGCAATGCAAAGCTGTAGTACCATAGCTATCCTTGGCATTTACATCTGACACTGGGAGCAACAGCTCAACACATTCCAGACACTGGTTCAATGCTGCACAGTGGAGAAGTGTTTCACCTTTCTTGTTTCTGATTCCTGCATCAGCTCCCTTCTCCAGCAGTGCTTGTATCACATCATGAGAGTGGGATACATTTGACTGGAGACTTAAGAGTAAAGCTGTTCTACCATCACCACCCTGGATATTTACATCTGACAATGGCAGCAACAGCTCAACACACTCCATACATTGGTTCTGTGCTGCACAGTGAAGAGGTGTTTCACCTTTCTTGTTTTTGATTCCTGCATCAGCTCCCTTCTCCAGCAGTGCTTGTATCACATCATGAGAGTGGGATACATTTGACTGGAGACTTAAGAGTAAAGCTGTTCTACCATCACCAACCTGGGTATTTACATTTGACAATGGCAGCAACAGCTCAACACACTCCATACATTGGTTCTGTGCTGCACAGTGAAGAGGTGTATAACCTTTCTTGTTTTTGATTCCTGCATCAGCTCCCTTCCCCAGCAGTGCTTGTATCACTCCGTGAGAGTGGGGTTCATGTGACCAGGAACTGCAATGTAAGGCTGTATCACCATAGCTATCCCTGGCATTTACATCTGACAATGGGAGCAACAGCTCAACACATTCCATACACTGGTTCAATGCTGCACAGTGGAGAGGTGTTTTTCTCTCCTGGTTCTTGATTCCTGCATCAGCTCCCTTTTCCAAAAGTGTTTGTATTACTTTGTGACAGTAGTCCTTGTCAGTCATCACACAGCGATGTGAAGCTGTATTACCATAATACATGTCTACTGGAACACATTCCTTTGAAACATAAAACAGAGGAGACTGTTTACTGACATCAAGGATATTAGTATCAGCTTGAGCCTCTACCAACATTTTCACACAATCAGAATCTAAGAGTTGTGCAGCATAATGGAGCGCTGTGCACTTCATGTAATCGGTCAAGTTGACAAAGTCTTCATCATGATCAGATGAATTCTTATTGAGCAACAGCTTCAGCTTTTCCTTCTGGTCAACACAAGATTTCAATGCATAATGAAATGGAGTCGACCCTTCTGTGTCCACTGATAACTCTGACCCATGTTTCAGCAGTAAGTCAACACCATCAGCACCACCATACATACAAGCCAAATGTAATTGTGTCCGACCAAATTCATCAGTCACATTTATATCATCACGTGATCTGAGCAACAGTTTCCTTAACACAGATGGGTCTTTGTGACTAGATGCAAGACTTATCTTTCTGGAATCCAATTTTCCACCACCTTCTTCAAGAAGTGTCATCACCTCAAGTATTTCATGTCCAGCATTTGTAGTCAATTGTGGTATGTCCTTGTGGCAATTGCCATTGATTTTAAGCAACAATTCTAAGCAATGGCTGTAAAACTGGTCATGGTTTCCACTTAGAGCAGTGAGTTTTTGAATTAAAACCCTGATCACTGTCTTATTGCAGGAAATAACTGCAATACTTAAGAGCAGTTTCAGATTGGTTTCATTGTCTTCTATCTGACTAATGATAGTTGATGAGGTATTTGTATCTAGTTGTGGCCAGTTACAAAGTGAGATAAAACACAACATGTTTGGTTTAGCTCCACTTGAAAGAAGGGCTGTTGCTAAGTCTTTTTCACAAGTAAACAAAGCACAAAGCAAGGCTTCATTTAAAACAGGATGAACGTCCTCTGAATCATATCTACAAAGTAACTGAATGATACGTGAAGCAAACTCCTTCATGTGATTCATGATAACATAGGAGAGAAACAAATTATATTCAAGAATGTTGACAGTTCGTGGCAAACCTAGTTTTCCACTAAGAGGTAAAGCAATATCTTTGACAACTTTCCCTCCATTGTGCCTGCACAGTTGGTATATGTCATCAGTTTTCCATTCATGAAAGATCACACGTAAAAACTCTGTGTCTTGTAAAGCTGGGTGAGACAGCACAACGTATCGAGTGTTCTCATGTGACAGATATTCCCTCAGTTTATCAGCCAAAATTGGATAATCTTCTTCATCTAGAAAAACAACATTACGTTGCTTGCATCTTTCCAGTTTCTGTTTATTGATTCGAATAAATTCTAGCAGCATGACTGGTGTGCTCATTTTTATTCCTAAATCAGGACTATCTTCACACACGGCTACAAACAAGACATCATATATTGACCTGTGTGAGAACAGGAAACATCTGGAAGCTTCTAAAAGATATATCCCACAGACGGATTTTGCCACATGTTTTATGCCACCCTTGGAAAGACCATCTTTCTTCAGAATACAAAAGGGCAATATGGTTTTAAACTGCCTTTCAAATTTGTCTTCATGCTCTGCTGACATGAGCTCTTTCATGGAAAGTCGTCCTTCATTCATGAAAACCAACAGCAACACAAAATACACTTCAGGTTGCGTCTTCTTAACACACTCAATCAAATCTTTTATAAATTCAAAAGGTTTCTTGAAAAATTCAACTCCTTTCAATCTTGCATCCTTATTTGCTGCAAAGAATGTACAGCATTGTGGGAATCCCAAAGTAGTGTCCATATTGGCAATTTCTTTCATGTCTTCCTTCCTTACATATTTTCCACACAACTTCTCAAGGAACTTTAATTTTTCTGACTCTTGGAGACGGTACTTTCCTTCATCAAGAATGATCTCTTTTGCCTTATTTATTATTTCATATCCAAATATTTCTGGTTCTCCTTGAGAAATGATTTCTGGACGTGAAGTCATCACTAACCAAATCTGTCCAGACTCCACAAGAGGCCACACTAGATCAAACTTTTGCCTCCACTCATCAAGGCTTGACTGGATCAAATTTGTTCGCCCAAAAATGTCATCAACCATTACAACATACTTTTGTTGCCGCACGCCTTCAGATGTCTGAATGCAGCCCATATCTGTGTATGTTGAAACATGTCTTGTGGGATGTTTTGATTTGATCTTCAGCTCAGTTTCAGCTCAAGGAACAAATTAATGTTAGTCCAGGTAATTGTCATATCAATTATAATTCTTGTAATCTTTCTAGATTGCTAGATATCAAATATATATATACTGTATATACACGGTTTTATCAACACGTTTTGAACAAGAGAAAGCAAGTTATATGACTTGTCAATATTTTTAGAGTATATACACCATGGTATTAAAATCACATCTCTTACTAAACCAGATCTCTGTTATATATTTAGGAATCAGATCCATCAACAATAATATATAATAGACAGATTAAAGCACTTACTGATTAAATGTTGAAGAAGTGAACATTCGGCTGCTGAAAAGCAAATTTTATTTATTATTTTGTTGTTTAATATTTAGTACAACCAGAAATTATTGCGAATTTATGTTTGTAATTTTTTTAAAAACATTTCATGCCTCTGAATGCTTTGAACGATGTTTTGGGTCGTTGTCCTGCTGGAAAATCCAAAACTTTCCATAGAACACATGAGCAGATGGAAGTAAATGTCCTTCGAGAATATCTGTGTACCGCTCACTGTTCATATTCCCTTCAAATACACAGAGGGGCGTTGCCCCTAACACAGATATGCCAACCCACACGTTAAATTTCGGACTGTACTTTGGGCGCTGATACAAAGGTCTATCAGTTTGTTTGGTCCAGAATTTCAGTGTATTAGGAAACAGCCACACAGAACTTTCATCTGAGAAAATCACATTGTCCCAGTTAACATTTCTATGCTGTAAGCACCAGTTCAACCTTCACTCCTTTTGTTCAGGTTTCATGATTGGTGTTTGAATTCCTCGACTTTTCTGCCAACCCATTGCATGCAGCTCAGTTCTATGGTCTCCTTACAGACAGCCACAGTTCCTCTTTCAATTATATCCAGCCTTAAATTTTCTAAACTCCTTCGTTTGTTTTTAGAAACAAGAAAACCAACCGCCTCCTGTCACCGACAGTCAATTTTCTGGGCCTACCTGCGCCTCCCTGGTGCTCAATGCCATATCCATTTGCAATATTTTTCAAAACACGATAAACAGTGGACAAAGGGATGCCTGTTCTACTTGAAATCACTTTAGCTGATCTGATGTCCTTGTTATAATACTCTAAAATCAACTTCCTCTTCTCTAAATCATCCATACTGAGGATCACTGAAAATGTCGTCTGCTAGCAAGTAAACAAAGGGGGATAACTCTTCACAAACTAATGAAAAAGGATTAACGGAGTTGTCTCCGTTGAATGAAACCAAGCAATTGATAGCTGGTCAAGGTTGTTTATACCAGAAATCCAATTAAACATATTCCTAAAATTCTCAATAATTTCTGGTCATACTATATATAGTACAAGAGTCATCAGAAGATGACATATCCCCCCGGCCCCCACATCTTTGAAAGAACAAATCATCTGACAGTTACTTAAAGTCCAGCTTGATTTTACACTAAGTGCGAATCGTTTCCATGGAAATGATGAAAAACATAAATGACAAAAATCTGCAAATAGCAAAAGGCACCACTTCAAGATCTGCCTCACATACCTGCCAAGTTTTACTGAAAGATATTAAGAAGTTTTTGAAACGAAACCCACCCCTCCCTTTTGAGACTAAGTCTAAATCGTTTCCATGGAAATCTAGAAAAATGTAAAAGACAAAAATCTGTAAATAGCAAAAGGAACCACTTTGGGATCTGCCTCAGATATCTGCCAAGTTTTGCTGAAAGATATTAAGAAGCTTTTGAGTTGTGCTCACGAAGCCCATCCCTCCCTTTTGAGACTAAGTCCAAAACGTTTCCATGGAAACCAAGAAAATAATAAATCACAAAAGTCTGTAAATAGCAAAAGGCACCACTTTGGGTACTGTTTGATATATCTACAAAGTTTTGTAGAAAAACATTGAACATTTTTTGAGTTACGCTCCAGAAACGAAACCTACCCCTCCCTTTTGAGACTAAGTCCAAATCGTTTCCATGGAAACCGGGAAAAATAAAAATGACAAAATCTGCAAATAGCAAAAGGCACCACTTAAGGTTCTGTTTGATATATCTACCAAGTTTTGTTGAATAATATTGAACGGTTCTTGAGTTATGCTCCGGAAACGAAGCCCACCCCTCCCTTTTGAGACTAAGTCCGAATCGTTTCCATGAAAACCGAGCAAATAATAATCACAAAAGTCTGCAAATACCAAAAGGCACCACTGTGGGATCTGCCTCACATATCTGCCAAGTTTTGCTGAAAGATATTAAGAAGTTTTTGAGTTGTGCTCCGGAAACGAAGCCCACCCCTCCCTTTTGGGACTTAGTTTGATTTGTTTCCATGGAAACCGGGAAAAATAAAAATGCCAAAAATCTGCAAATAGCAAAAGGCACCACTTAAGGTTCTGTTTGATATATCTACCATGCTTTGTTGAAAAATATCGAACGGTCTTTGAGTTATGCTCTGGAAACAAAATGATTACGAACGGACGGACGGACGGACGAGGCGACGACTATATCCCACCACATTACATGCCGGTGGGATAAAAAGGAACTGGATACCAGAGAAATTGTGAACTAAGCACTGTCTATGACTAGTTCTTTGATAAGCTTTTCTTTCTCAACTATGATTAGAAACAAATGGAGATACATGTACAAGCTCTTTGGCTCACCAAAATTACGGCAGCCGTGTTGAAAGTTAAACAAGAAGACACAGTCATCAATATCCCCCGCAATGCATAATACTCTTCATGATTATGTCTACGAGTTATGATTATGTCAAATATTTAGGTGTGTATATAGAAAAGTGGAAGGAGAGTATTGAAATGATTTTTAAGTTCTGCTCCAGAAAATAGCACTATCACCAATTTCAGTCTATGTCAAACTTGTTGCCATGGAAATGCCAAAAATATTTTATTCAGAATTCCAAAACAACCAAAAGGAACCAGTACACCACCAGATCTATCTATGTGCCAAGTTTGGTGAAGAAATAGTGAACGGTTTTAGAGTTCAGCTCCGGAAAAGAGCACTACCGCCAATTTCAGGCTAAGTCAAACTTGTTGCCATGGAAACGCCAAAAATATTTTATTCACAATTCCAAAACTACCAAAAGGCACCAGTACACCACCAGATCTATCTATGTGTCAAGTTTGGTGAAGAAATAGTGAACGGTTTTAGAGTTCTGCTCCGGAAAAGAGCACTATCACCAATTTCAGGCTAAGTCGAACTTGTTGCCATGAAATGCCAAAAATATTTTATTCAGAATTCCAAAACTACCAAAAGGCACCAGTACACCACCAGATCTATCTATGTGCCAAGTTTGGTGAAGAAACAGTGAACGGTTTTAGAGTTCTGCTCCGGAAAAGTGCACTACCACCAATTTCTGTTTTAGTCAAACTTGTTGCCATGGAAACGCCAAAAATATTTTATTCAGAATTCCAAAACAACCAAAAAGAACCAGTACACCACCAGACCAAACTATGTGTCAAGTTTGGTGAAGAAATAGTGAACGGTTTTAGAGTTCAGCTCCGGAAAAGTGCACTACCACCAATTTCAGGCTGAGTCAAACTTGTTGCCATCGAAACGCCAAAAATATTTTATTCAGAATTACAAAACTACCAAAAGGCACCAGTACACCACCAGACCAATCTATGTGCCAAGTTTGGTGAAGAAATAGTGAACGGTTTTAGAGTTCAGCTCTGCAAAAGAGCACTACCACCAATTTCAGGCTAAGTCAAACTTGTTGCCATGGAAACGCCAAAAATGTTTTATTCAGAATTCCAAAACTACCAAAAGGCACCAGTACACCACCAGATCTATCTATTGGTCCAAGTTTGGTGAAGAAATAGTGAACGGTTTTAGAGTTCAGCTCCAGAAAAGTGTACTACCACCAATTTCAGGCTAAGTCAAAATTTGTTGCCATGGAAACGCCAAAAATATTTTATTCACAATTCCAAAACTACCAAAAGGCACCAGTACACCACCAGATCTATCTATGTGCCAAGTTTGGTGAAGAAATAGTGAATGGTTTTAGAGTTCTGCTCCGGAAAAGAGCACTACCAACAATTTCATTCTAAGTCGAACTTGTTGCCATGGAAATGCCAAAAATGTTTTATTCACAATTCCAAAACTACCAAAAGGCACCAGTACTCCACCAGATCTATATATGTGCCAAGTTTGGTGAAGAAATAGTGAACGGTTTTAGAGTTCAGCTCCGGAAAAGACAAATGTGCACGGAAGGATGGACGGACGGACAAACAGACGGACAAAACGCGTTGCGAGGGAAAACAAGAATTCAGGGATCCAAAATTATTATTGCAGGGATCCAAGCAGTAATTGTATATGTTACTCTTCTTAAAATACCACAGCTAAAAATAGTGTATGAAATAAGCCTAAAATTCAGCCAGACATCATGGCTTGTAACTTCAAAATGTTACCAGCCCAAAATGGATTTAACCAGACCAAATAAGGTGAATTTACACAGATGTCTGGAACTTCTAAAAAATTTCACCAGACCATCGGGCTGGCTAGCTGTAAATTTCGACCGTCCCTCAGAAATCTAAACCGTCTTGGGCGGTCGGACGGGCCTTATTTCATACACTGCTAAAAATCATCAATACAAAGTTTCAGATCATAAATCAAAATATGTTTTTAAAAACCAATGCATAACATGTTATACCACATACTACACATTTCAATTTCATAATTACACATGCAAAAGTGCCTGAGTAAATGCCCCAAAAATGTGAATATGACAGCCATGTTTTAAATCAATTTCACTAGCCTCTCAGTGCCAACTCAAGTGTTGAGTAGGTCCATTATTATGGTTCACATAAAAGCAACCTTTCATCTGACCAATCAGGGCGATGCTTAACAAAGTGACATTGAGAATCTGTTCCTGCAACCTTGAACAGTTTTCTACATGGTATGCTGAATGACAGCTACAGACTGTATAACTGCTTCTGTCAGAATAGGGGCGGTGGGGTAGCCTAGTGGTTAAAGTATTCGCTCGACACGCCGGGTACAATCTGTGAAGCCCATTTCTGGTGTCCCTGCCTTTTATTGCTGGAATATTGCTAAAAGTGGCATAAAAACCCACTCACTCACTCACTCTCAGGGTAATAATCTCTTGCTTCAGTCAGAAAAATATTTGAAACTTTCAACAGTCCAAGGGAAGTACTGCCATAAAGTCTCGATAGACATTCCAGAATTTTCTTTAGTTCTGCTTTCAAAATTTTGAAACAAAATATTTCATCAAACATTTTGAAAGGTAGTCTTGAATGAAAGTTTGAAACTTGCTGTAAGGCTTGAGAAAGCTGCATTCCCAATGACTAATGTCAACTTCTTGTCAGGTATTTCACTGGTAGTTCAAAGTTCAAGAAAGGTCATTCTGACATGACCTTAAAGTTCACATCCTCAAACATACGTGTTGTAGCAGTTAAGACAAAGATTTAATTTTAATGAGCTTGGTTCAAAGTCGTATTGAAGTACAGACACCATAGCTGGTTTCATTTGTGGTTTCAGTTCCAAAGAGCTTGTAGTTTCAGAAGAGTTACCTGTTTCAAGGTACAAGACAAAATGAGCAATCATTGTACTTTAAACAATAAATCATAGTTTCATCAAATGTGACCTTCTAAAAAAAACCCATTTACCTGCATTATTCACAGTCATCACAGCTGCCACATTACTTCCGATGGCCGTTCCACCAGTCATACCAGTCTGAAAGTCTGAAACACATCAACATAATTCATTAATATTAACATAATAAACATGTTTATTTCAGTGTAAAATACTGCAACAGTGATGACATCATCATAATCAGGTTTTGATCCAAACTGGAATGAAATGCCCATGCTAAGGAAAACAAGTTATATATTATGAATATTAATTGCTAACATTATTTCAGGGTTCTAAATAATATTTTCACATATTGTGTACTTACTCGGGCTGGCTAAATGGCTACAAGGATTGACAATCAGAAAATATTCAAAGAAAAAACTCATTAACAATGATGTATCTGCATGAAAATTGTGTCATTGATAACCTTGATAATATCTTATATGCACTATTGTCATGAAATAGAGACTTAATACACACGATACACAATGGTACGTCTTTATTCGTGAGCCGCTTCTAAACTGTGTCTATACTACTGTGTCTATACTACTTTTGTTAGAAATCCATGCACAAATGTGTCACCACTTACTATTGACATGAAATATATTGATACCTTTCCATCATTTTTGCTCAAAGTTATTCTCTGGTATTATCAAAAACTAATAAATGTATAGTTTATGATTATCTACATCTTAGATCTATATTAATATCCCACCTTATTATTTGCTAACAGGTTATCAGTCTCACTGACAGTGACACTGAAGTGCAGCAAGAGGGATTATCAGCTGAGTTACAAAAACAAACATCGATCAAAGGATTAACCGATAACACACTGATTGATTAATTGCTTTTATCTTGCACAGTGGATTTGTCAAAAGGTAAATGTTTATGTATGTACTATGTAGATTTACTAATCTATACTGAATACACCCTGTCGCAAAGTGCCTGTGTAAAAACAATGTCCTCCCTTCAGAGAATTAATTGCCAATACATTGATTGATTGCTCATTTTGGCTGACTAAATTACTTTGTTAAAGAATGGCGGACATCATGCAATTAGTTGACAGATGTGCTGTCTTGGGTGACCAATCAGACTCTACACAAATGTGAAAAACCTGAAATGATATATCACTTTTTCGCATATTAGACTGTTAAAAGACACATGACATAGAGCAGGATTCTTTGTCAGCTGAAAGTGAATGGCATGTCGTTCCTTTGTGTGGATATTGATGGATACATTCCTCGAAAAAGGTAGGATAGCCTGATATTGGTGCTGTAACTTTAGTCTGTTTTAATTTTAATATTTGCAATTTTTTTTATTCATTGGTTGTAGCATTATACAGAATCATTTTTTTTGCCGTGAAGTGTAATGAGACAGACAACATAGCGTGTGTGTGAAATAATACATAATCTACGTGAGCAATCTATAAAATGTCTAGATATTACAGTCATGTTATAAATTCACAATAAGTATAAGCAGATCGTGTGCATTTTATTAGGTTTCAAAATGCATACAAATATGATGATAAACTAATGAGGATTATCAGACAAAACATAAAGACGTACATTGACTCCGTTATTTTTCAGTCCTAACAATTTGGCAGACGGTTAAACTTCAAAATGTTTTCATTTGTTATCAAATTAATGAAGATGGAAATATTATCGAGTAAAAATGATTTCCTCTTTGTTAATCAATCTATACTTATACTATCAATTGTGCATGCGGGTAGCGCAGCAGAGGTCACGAACCAGTCAAGAATTATGGGATATCATCCGGGTACTCACGGGGAAAAACAATAATAAAAACAACAACCAGTCCACGGAAATCCCTTGGGATAATAAAGAAAATATCTTAAGCAAGTCTAGGTTTCCTCATGGTCAGAATTTCCCATCTCACATGGGCTCCTTTTCAATTTAAATGAGTTTATTTGTTAATACATGTATCAAAATTATATATACTGGACAAAAATAGTTAGGGATATATGTAAATTTGGAAATTATGAATAATGATCTGTTTATTCATTGACTTACGACCGCCTCCGTGGTGTAGTGGTTAGAGCGTCCGCCCGGAGAGCGGAAGGTCGCGGGTTCGATCCCCGACCGCGTCATACCAAAATACGTTAAAATATGGTCCTTGTTGGTCCCTGCCTGGCGCTCGGCATTAATGGGTACAACAAGGACTGGTCGGCTCGGAGTCAGTATAATGTGTCTGAGTGGGGTATTCATGCTTCACTGCGGCATGGTATCTCAGTGGGCTAGCACTATAAAACCAGCTTAAGTCAGGGCTAGTACAAGCAGCCGCACATACACATACACACGCATGCACGTCGTCATATGAGCGAAATATTCTCAAGCACGACGTTAAACCTAATTTCACCTCACCTCACCTCATTGACTTACTGATAAAATATCAATCATAAAAATACCAATCTCCCTAACTTATTTTGTCCAGTATTCATTCAGAGATTAAGCATTAGGGCTTCACATATTGTACCCATGTGGGAAATTGAACCCAGGCATTTGGCAAAGTGAGTGGAGGCTTTAACCACTAGGCTACCCCACCGCCCCCAGAAAAGATTGACCTGTAGTGTAACTGTGATGAAATACTGGTTTGGAAGACTCTGGGTAGTACTGACTGAGTTTGGTTTTACGCCGCTTTTAGCAATATTCCAGCAACATCACGGCGGGGGACACCAGAAATGGGCTTCACACATTGTGCCCATGTGGGAATTCGAACCCGGGTCTTTGGCGTGACGAGCCAATGCTTTCACCATTAGGCTACCCCACCGCCCCCCTCTGGGTAGTAAGTCAGGGACACACGGTCTTGTTTTACTGTTGTATGTTCTTCAATTTTCCATGTGTACTTGTGTATGCATTAAATTCAAAGCTAACTGGGTAGTGGTAGTTTTTTGTGCCCATTTTAAACAAATATTCAGCTTAACTGTGACGTTGTTCTTCAGATGGAGTTTGTTGTAGGTGATTTTAATTAACATGTTTAAGATGTGGCTACATGATTTTCAAAGAAATGTCCCTTTAAAAACAGCTTAAATGCTGTTTTTCAGTTTCAAGATAATATAAACATATTTACTGTTTTCAAAAACATACTTAATTTTTTGTATCAAAAGAGTTTAATCATGCTGTTGGGTAAATGTCTGTGATCATTTCACTATTCTCACAGGACAATGCTCTGCAAATGTTTGTTAACTGTAAAAATTTGAAATTGCAATTAAAAATATCTGAATTCAAGTTATTACAATCATGGCAATGTGTGGATTTTTGCAGGTTGACTTGTATTTCACATGCAGTTGAATAAATAAGATTGCAAAAGACTTTGATAAAAATGAGTTATGATATTATCAAATTAGAATTGAATAACTTTCAATTCAAGAAGAAGGGGACTTTTGAAAGTTCAGAAAGTTGGGCCAAAACCATACAAATTTTACTGATTATTTTTAACAGGTACTTGGGTCATTAGAAAGCCATGGATCAACAATCTCCATGGGTAAAAATACTTGATTACTGCAACTCCCTCTATTACAACATTCCTCAACAGCTCCTTTCACAACTCCAACGGATTCAGAATTCAGCCGCCCGTGTTGTTGCCCGTGCACCACGCTACCAAACTGTGACACCTATCTGTAAACATGATTTAGTTCCGAGTAGTAAATGTTCCGGTTCGGAATAAATGCCGTGAAATTGAGAATGGATGACACGAATAAAAATTCCGCACATACGGCAAATATTCCATCGAACAGGAACAAATACCGTAGGCCTAACCTATATTCCAGTCATTATTGAATGCAAAATGGACTCATCCAACTTGTCAACATCCGGGATGTCTACTAACTTCAACTCGGTTACATGTTGACTGTAACCTGGCTACTGACTGACTGTAACTTGGTTACATGTTGACTGTAACCTGGCTACTGACTGTAACTTGGCTACATGTCGACTGTAACCTGGCTACTGACTGTAACTTGGTTACATGTCGACTGTAACCTGGCTACTGACTAACTGTAGCTTGGTTACATGTTGACTGTAACCTGGCTACTGACTAACTGTAGCTTGGTTACATGTTCACTGTAATCAGGCTACAGACTAACTGTAACTTGGTTACATGCTGACTGTAACCTGGCTACTGACTAACTGTAGCTTGGTTACATGTTCACTGTAATCTGGCTACAGACTAACTGTAACTTGGTTACATGTTCACTGTAACCTGGCTACTGACTGTAACTTGGTTACATGTCGACTGTAACCTGGCTACTAACTGTAACTTGGTAACATGTCGACTGTAACCTGGCTACTGACTGTAACTTGGTTACATGTCGACTGTAACCTGGCTACTGACTGTTACTTTGTTACATGTCGACTGTAACCTGGCTACTGACTGTAACTTGGTTACATGTCGACTGTAACCTGGCTACTGACTAACTGTAACTAGGTTACATGTTGACTGTTATCTGGCTACTGACTAACTGTAACTAGGTTACATGTTCACTAACCTGGCTACTGACTGACTGTAACTTGGTTACATAGTGACTGTAACCTGGCTACCGACTAACTGTAACTTGGTTACATGTTGACTGTAATCTGGCTACTGACTGACTGTTAATTGTTACATGTTGACTGTAATCTGGCTACTGACTGACTGTTAATTGGTTACATGTTGACTGTAATCTGGCTACTGACTGACTGTTAATTGGTTACATGTTGACTGTAACCTGGCTACTGACTAACTTGGTAACATGTTGACTGTAACCTGGCTACTGACTGACTGTAACTTGGTTACATGTTGACTGTAACCTGGCTACTGACTGTAACCTGATTAATGAAGGTAACTTGGTTACATAATAACTGAACTCTTTTTAACACAAGATTCATTTAGAATCATCAGTTCGCATTCTGGGGAATCTACAATGTATTTTCATTAAAAAAATTAAGTAACTTTCACACATGATAATTGCTTCTTGATAGCCACATGATTTGTTCCATATGGAACAAATACCGTAGGAAAATCTTTTTTTCCTTTCCGTTCCCCCCACGCCCCAATTTTTAAGACCACCCCAACAAACAAAACCCTCTTTTAGACACTTTATGATGTGTGTGGAAGTTCCTCTTTACCCGGAATAAATTCTGTGTGTGCGGAACGAAATAATTGTTCCGCATGCACTATTACAGGAACAAATGTTGGAATGAAAAGTTCCACCGGAACTTTTACTATGGGGGAACCAAATCTTTTTTACAAACTCCAAACTCTTCACTGGCTTCCCGTATCAAGCAGAATTCAATACAAACTTCTTCTTCTTACACACAGCTGCATCTATGAAAACATGTTTTCTCAATATCTTAAAAGCCTCATTCATCTCCATGTTCCAAGCCGAATGCTCCGATCGTCAAACTCCCTACTGCTTACACAGCCTCACGTCAAAACAGCCATGGGATCAAGAGCGTTCTCTGCTGCAGCCCCCTATCTCTGGAACATTCTACCACTCACCCTAAAAGAAATAGAATCTGCTGATGCTTTCAAAACTGCCCTCAAAACTCATCTGTTCAAACTCTCTTTTCCATAGACATTGTCTACAATCTTTTCTCTTCATAGCGCCATTGAGCAATATCTTTTGGAAATAGGCGCTCTATAAATCAATTATTATTATTATTAAAAATACTTACAGTTAGTGGGAGCAGATGCGTTAGACTGGCTAGATCCATGTGGTGCTGGCGCTGATGACGATACACATTCTGTGATGTTACCAAACTTTGCCCTTTTCCGTGCTGTAACCATGGTAACATCACATGGATCATCAGCCTTCTGTGTCCGATCCGTCATGTCAGTGACATCACCTGAGTCAAGGGAATCAAGAGCTGTCCTCTTGCGATCCATCATGTCTGTGACATCCCCAAGTTTGGCCTTTTTCCTTACTGTGTCATCACATGGATCATCAGCCTTGCGTTTTCGATCCATCTTGTTTCAGTTTTCAAGTCAATAAAACGTTAACCCTTAAACAAAACACAACAGATGTAGTTTTTCTTTTGCCATGCATGTAAGATTAAATATATAATAAATACTGACTGCTCACATATAATGATTTTATTCACAATTAATTAAATTCTGGTTGCAGAACCAGATATTTGGTAAATGTATTTATTCACTGATTGAAACTACTTTCGTTAAGGAAAGAACTTCAAAGTTGGTTAGTAGATGAAGGTAAGTAATACTTTGAAAATGACATAAACTTCCCTTTGATAATCAACAATACGTCTCAATAATCATTTCAGATACAAAACAATTCATTGTCATTTCAACCACTGATCTTGATATAGTCCAGCATATAACTAGACGACTTTGCACAATACCAAGGTGTGCTCGACAACTCTATGTAGGCCTTGGCTGGAATACGAGTTTATTCATATGAACTAATCTTGATAGTGTCTGTGGTTTCGACGAAGTAACAGTTAATCCATGCTATAACAAGTCAAGACCTTGCTTTGACCAGATCAACAAACTTATCTTAGAAGTAGAATATCAAATTTTCCTGAGCTAACTTGGTTTATGATATAAAGAGGTGATGGGGGCCTGTCTTCCAACGCGGTGCTATTTCACATTTTGTTTTGCAGAGTTACATCCCTTGGGCACAATAGAAACCTATGATTGTGGGTTGAAATCCTGGTTCACACAGAATATTGTCAGCACCACATTTGTGATCGTAGGGTTTCACCAAAGTGATAGATGTAGGAATCATTTCATACTTTCTTCGTACATTCAACTAAAAAACCATCAGGAACACTGTTCAAAGAGGCCTTAAACCCAACTCCCTCACTCACTCATATATCACAACAAAGGCCACCTGTGACATGTTCAAGTGTCTTAAAAAATATCAAAAGAAATTCAAATTATACGTGGAGGTTATCATTAAGGTAATTATCTACAGGATAACATGAACGTCAATGAACTTCATCTCTAACTTCAGAAAATACATATGTTTTGGTGCAAGGGGTAAGAGGACCTCGTGATATTTTGGAGCTCCATATAAGTGTGAAACTCCACCTTTTCACATCCCTACCAATAATACAATTACTATGATGCACAGTTTACTTGATAGTGCAAATGTAAGACCCCACTTTATCTGAACTGTTTTGAGTCTGAAAGTGAGTTTAGTTTTATGCTGCTTTTAGCAATATTACAGTAATATCATAGCAGGGGCCACCAGAAATGGGCCTCACACATTGTACCGATGTCGACATTCAAACTCAGGTCTTTGGCGTGCTATAACCACTAGGCTACCCCTCCACCCTTGAACTGGTTTGAAAAGTTTATAAATATTTCATTTCAGCACATTTGGAAGAAATACATTTCTAGGATATTATATAGATCTTAATTTGATCAAGCAGTTCTTTTACCTTTGAATATGACATTTGATGATATTTTGTGATTTTCAACATCACTTTTGATTCCTATCTTGGATTTGAAACCACAAGCTCAGGGTGAGACACCAAACCACCAGTGCATAACATCGGGCAATTTGGTGCCTGAAGTGGAGAGAGGATTCAGTGGGATTCAAACCCAGAATTACTAGACACTGTCAATTTATACTTTACAAAGAAAGTGCAATCCCAAACTACCCTTAACATTTGACATCTTTCTAAAAGGCATGAAGTACCGTCTTCATGGCTCTTGGCTATAGTATAAATTACCTGAAACAAGTTTATGCAGATGTATTTGAGAAAACGTCAAGTCATTAATTAAGAAACATGCAAAAGACAAATATAATAGTATATAGGTATACACTACCCCAAATGTCTTTATTGACTTTTTAAACTTCCGCGTTTAGTTATGGAGTGGGGCTTCTATTTTGTTTATCATATTGCTAACCTAAACCTTGATATATCTTCCTTTTTCTTTTGAAATCATAGGTAGCCTTCTGTTGATTTGTATCTGAGAATGTATGGATATTTTAATTAGTTAAAACCATCAGCGTTCTCGTGTATACTCTGTATGTATAGTTGATACATGAAAGCGAAACCACAATCAACATTTCATTTTCGAATGGAATTATTTGAACAATCAATAAATAAACATGTTTCTACGGCAATATACCTGATAAACGAGTTTGTCACTGACAATGAGAGGCCACTGTTTTTGACCAGGGAGTCTGTACAAGAATCTGTACAAGACTCCTGATTCTTCTTCTTCTCTGGGTGCCTGAGAAAGGGAAATCCCCTTTTCTCCGTCAATACTCGCTCTGTTACGTGAAGGGGCGATGCATTCGTGACCAACTCGTGTTATTCCGGGACAAGTCTTCTTGGGGGTTACGGAAAGAGGCGAGTTGTGACGAATGAGGGCGATGTTCTCCGAGGGCCGCATTGAAAACGTACCTACTCGACTCTTTCCGTGACCTTCAAGCCATCCGGCTTGCCGGAATGACACGAGTCGTTCCGAATGACTGAAAACGAACCCCAAGTTCCGCTGATAGGCGTTTCGGTGTTGGCTTCCATGTAGCCCGTATGGCACGCCGTTTTCACATTTATCAAGAAAATACTGGCATCGTAAATCATTGTATTGATATCTAGAATGGAAATAGATACATCTTGAACTGAACTGAGGATATTTTGAATTGAAATGAACATATCTTGAAATGTTGAGTTGAGTTATTCCAGCCATATAGTGACGAGATCAAGTGTGAATTAATAACATTGTTATAGCACCAAATTCGAACGCATGCAGTTCGTTATTCACATTACATACCTACAATTTATGATAAAGGTCAACCTCCCTCAGGTAGTTAACAATGAGATGCCCGCTCACGCGGGAAAACAGATCTTTCATATTTGCCGCATCATAGTGTGAATCCCTTGCAGTCGAAAAGGTCGGCACAGTCAAGCAGAATATGCTTGATCGTGAACACTTCACCACATGAAACACACATGGGAGGTCCATCCCCATCAGTTTTAAGCAGATAGTCAGGAGTAAAGCGATTGTGGCCAATACGACATCGACATGGTCGTAAAATTACCTCATCTCGTCTTGACTGACATCCCAAGTAGGTTGTAGAGTATCCCTGGTATAACCAATTGTTGGCTTCAATTCATGAAGTTTATTTCTTCCTACTTGGGTGTCCCAACTTCTTTGCATAAGGTCCCGAGTATAACTTTTGATAGTTGGTTTGAAATCACTGTACGGGATTAGCAGTGGAGATAGGGCTTGTCAAGAGCTGCTTTAGCTGCAGCATCTGTTTTTGTGTTACCTGCTATGCCGACGTGACCCGGCAACCAGCAGAGGACGATGTCAGTAGAGGAAACTGTAGGTTATGGTGACAACAATACAAGTTACCTCCCAATTTCAATGGAAAACGATGAAGCATGAGCGAGTGTAAAATGGAGTGAGGTACTTGAATGTGCAGTGGACCGAAGAAGACTCCCTAAAGATGTGGTAACAAAGGGTACAAAGGAAGGTATTGAATTGAGCGGAGTGAATGAGATGACACAGGTGTTCGTCGTCTGCTAGCGGTTCGCCCGTCTGCAACGGGTTGGATGTGAATAAGAAAAAGATTCGTCTGCTTTAGGACAGTCGTCTGCTGGTTTTTTGTAGAGGTAATTGTACGCAACGCTAATCAGCGGTTTACACATTGTTCTATACATGTCTGACCAATGCTACAACGTGATATACGTTGGATAATGTAGGGAAAATGTACGTCTAGCTGTATCAAATTCATCCTGTACGGTGTACAAGTTGTGCACCATGAAAGTTAGACAAGCTGTTTGGAAAGAGATAGAATAAATAGATAGGACATGTAGAGGCAAGGAACGTATTTCATGTTTAGGATCTTCATCCTTAATCTCAGAGATAACATATTTTATCATGGACATTTTAAACGCGAGGAACATGTTTCATTGGAAATATATGCTGAAGCAGGTTTATTCATAGCTAATGTGTAGCAGATAGACTAAGCCACCGGCCATAACAATGTCAACATACCGGCCTAACAATGTCAACATACCGACCTCGCCTACCGGTGAAGCTTCCCATTCATACATTGTGTGATCAGTGTACCGTATTTAGGTTAGGTTAGGGAAGATGTGTTGTACATTATTATTTTTAAAGGGAGTTATTTCAAAGAGGTCATGGGTATTCCCCTCATTAAACCTCTCTGTTGTTGTTGTTGTTGTTGTTGTGTGTGTGTGTGTGTGTGTGTGTGTGTGTGTGTGCGTGCGTGCGTGCGTGTGTGTGTGTGTGTGTGTGTGTGTGTGATTTTTAAATGTAATCGGTATATTTAATACATTTGAATGAAATTGCGGTCATGTACGAACGAATGTATGTGCGTGTAGATTTTATGCATATATCTGAACATGAATGTATGGCACCTTTCAATAGATCCATTACGGTTCTAACCACGGCATGAAACATTACTATGAGTGTGGCTAGGAGTTCGTATTTATCAACACATCGTAAGTAATAGAATTCTGATGAATGAACTCGCCCGCACACATGTCTAGGTCAACATAACTCTGGGTATTTTCAGACCATCCAACTGTAAACAGTTACACATTGATAACAGGAGGGTGTCGCGTTTGTGTGGAATGCACTCATCCTTGTAAAGGTAAATCCATGTAAAAATACGCGTTTAAACTCACAATTTAAATGATGGCATTACTTTTTAGATGTATTGGTATGGATGTGAGGTTCGTAGATCTGTGAAGTGTGTATCGATGTCTGTCTAGGGACTACACATATATTATCATCGAGGTATATAAGGATTATATTCTAAGTATGCAAAACAAAAAAAACCCGACAAAACAAGCAAATTCATTCATATCATTTATTGATTCAAGTTAATCGGTTCGATACAAAGCTGTGATATACGAATGGGCAATAGGATTCACTCTGGAACATTAAAGTCAACAGTTCAGTCACTCTAGACACAGGCTGCTGCTTCAAGGCGCGATTGTTTAAACGGCAAGTCCATGTTTTGAAACACATTTCGCACTGTTGAATATTCAGTTCACCTTTCCTATGCTGTTTTAAGGTTGAATGGTTATCTATAGTCTATGTTTTATCCACTGCCTTTAACGATGTCCGTCCAGGAGGTCCCAGTTTCACAACTCCTCTCACGTAGAGGAAAATTCGGCGTTTCTCATCGTTCAAGCGCCTCAGTGTATGAGGTGTTTTCAAAATATGAATCAAACTAGACGTGCGGCGTTGACTCATAGGGAGGGTTGAAAACACAATTGTATTCTGGATTGGACTCATTTGAACGTAATTTAGTAACATACTGCAGTGGAAGTTTAATGCGGCGTTGTTCAAGGGACGGTTCGTTTGCCTCCGCATATAGACTGTCTACCGGAGAGGTCCTAAAGGCTCACAGGTACAGCCTCGTGTCTTGGTGGTGGATAGAATCTAATTTTTATAAATTGCTTTTGCAGGCTCCACCATAAACAATGGGGCCGTAATCTAGTTTAGAGCGAACCAAAGATCTGTACAAGTGAAGGACGGTAGTCTGATCCCCTCCCCACTATGTATATGAAACGGCTTTTAATCCAGAGCCTTCAAGCACTTTGTTTTCAAATACTTTATGTGTGGTAAGAATGTCAAGTGACGGTCGAATATGAGTCCCAGGAATTTGGCCTCTTCTACTACCTTGATGGGAGTACCATCTAAAGATAGGTCTGGATCCTTGTGTGGTTTGTATTTACGACAAAAGTGAATACAATTTGTTTTAGACTTTGAAAACTTAATGTCATTTTCATTGGCCCACTTTGGATTTTGTTAAGGCAGAGATGGCTTTCTATTGCGTGCATGTTCATACCACGACATGAAACATTGAAATCATCCATGAAAAGGGACCGATCAACACAACTGTTCAAAACGTTAGTGAGGCTGTTAATTTTGATGGTAAACAGGGTGACAGCTAGAATGCTGCCTTGAGGGAAGCCCTGATCTTGGTGGAAATAATCAGACAATGTGGAATCTACCCGTACTTGAAATTGTCTGTGTCCTAAAAACTGAGATATGAACTGAGGTAATCTACCCCTCAATTCAAATTCATGTAAATATTTTAAGATACCATGTTTCCACGTTGTATCATATGCTTTTTCTAAGTCGAAAAAGATAGATACAGTATGTTGTTTGACAATGTTTGTTGACAACAGATATTTTTATAAATGATTCCAGACGTACCAAATAGTCAATGGTACTTCGGTTCTTTCAGAAACCACATTTGATCACTAAGGAGGTTATTGGTCTCCAAGTAACAGATTAATCGATTGTTGACCATGCGCTCCATGGTTTTACAAACGCAGCTAGTTAGTGATATAGGACGGTAGTTTGAGGGATCGGTATGATCCCGGCCAGGCTTTGCTACAGGGTTGATAATGGCCTTGTGTCACGAAGGAGGAAAGTTTTCGGTTGTCCAAATATCATCCAATATATTGAGTAGTGTTTCCAAACTTGAACCAGGGAGGTGTTTCAGAAGCTGATAATGAATATCATCAGCTCCTGCCACAGTGTCGTGAGCCTGCCCCGGGGCAGAACGTAATTCATGGAGGGAAAAAGTTTTATTGTAATCCTCTCTATTATTACAGTTAAAATTGACTGATTTCTTTTCTTGTTCGGTTTGGTATTTCTGGAACTGGGGGTTATAATTAGACGAGGAGGAGTGGTTTGCCAAAGTTTCACCAAGAAGTTTGTTTGCAATTGCAAATTTATTTGTTAAAAGAGAAACACCATCATGAGATGACGGACACCAGATTTTGATCCTTTGCCCTTAATCTTTTGAATCATGTTCCACACCTTGGAAATGAGTGTGCGGGAGTTGATTTTGGACACATATTTCCTCAAAGACCGGCGTTCAGTTTGTTTAAAGGTACGTCTTGCCCTGGCATTTGTCATTTTAACTGCATTCAGGTTATATGCAGTAGAATGTTGTCGGAAGTATTTTTCCGCCTTCTTCCTATTTTTTCTAGCTTGTTTACAGTTTGTATCAAACCATTGTTTGCCTATGTGCGGGTTTGCAGAGGACTTAGGAATGGATTTGTCTCCAATGACATTTAGGAAGTCTGAAAATAGTTCCATGGGATCAGGAACATTCCTGAAGTTGTGACGTCATAACTCAGTTATGACGTCATAGTGACGACGTCATAGTCCTAACTGCCAGCTCACCTGATGAAGGGACCTGGAATGGTCTCGAAACGTCGTGAGAGAAATTAAAAAGAAGTTTAATCCATAAAAATATCTTGGACTTCTAAATGCCACTGAAAGACATTCCTGAACTTGTCCGGTATAAGTTTTTTCAGAGCAGAGAGTTTGGAATAATGGCCAATTGGCCTTAGTAAAATTCCACCTTGTTGAAGGTGGTTCATCCGCGGGATTGATAGGAGTAAGAATAGTTGGGAAGTGGTCACTTCGTGGAACGACCATTCAAACTCGTTTAAGAGATTAGAATCCGTAAGTGATAGATCAAGTGCAGAGTATGTTCCAGTGGCAGGATGGAGGTAAGTGTTTGATCCATCGTTGAAGATGCACTGATAATTGTTGGAGAGAAAATCTTCAAGGACCTTTCCCTTGTTGTTTATATCGGTACTCCCCCATTGGGGGTTGTAGCCGTTCAAGTCGCCCATGATTATGCAGGGTTTCGGGAGTTGATCATACAAGTTCTGAAGATCTGAAAGGCGGATAGTTGAGGAAGATGGAAGATAGAGTAAACAGAGTGCAAATCCAATGTTCAAAGTCATGCGGACAGCAACAGATTGTAGGTTAATTGGTGTTAAGTGGAACAGGGCTATGGAGGATGCCTTGTCTCACCAGGATAGCAGTGCCTCCTGTAGCTTTAACACCGGGATGTGCAATTCTGCAATTCCATTGAATCATGTTTTGTGGATTCACGGTGCTTCCACTGGTGACATGTCACGTGAACGCGAGGAAGCATTTGAAGTACTCCTATTGGTGCCAGGTGGAGATGGAGTGACCTCCATATCCAGAGGACTAAAGGAGTTATGGACATCGACGGGGATCTCTGAACGAGAGGTGGCCTTTGGTTTTGGCAGTTTGGCAGTTGCTCAGCTGCACAAGCTGCTTTAGTCTCTGTATTTTGGAGGTTTCTTTTCGCAGTTTCCGTTTCTGGCTTTGGCATTGGTTCTGGTGTTTGTGATACAGAAGTTTTGACGTTTGGTTTGTCAGATGAAGGGATTGAGACAGGTTGAGAAGATTTGACCCATGTAAGATCGGTTTGACATGAGATAGTTGCAGTTGTGGTAGAAGGACGAGAGACGGCAGAAGAGTAAGGGATATATGTGTGTGAATAGAATGAGTGAGTTTAGTTTTACACTGCACTCAGCAATATTCCAGCTATATGGTGACGGTCTGTAAATAATCGAGTCTGGACCAGACAATCCAGTGATCAACAGCATGAACATCTATCTGCGCAACTGGGATACAATGACATATGTCAACCATGTCAGCTAGTCTGATAACCCGATCCTTTTAGTCGCCTCTTACGACAAACTTGGGGGACAAGACCAATTCTAACCGGCATCATTTCAGTATGGTTTACTACAGGAACAAATCTGATAGGTGTTGCTAATATTGATCTTATATAACAGGTCAAATAAATTGGAGAGTGTGCTTCACTCATTAGTTGAACATTATTGCTAATTAGGATTGTATCCAAGAAGCCATTTTCCTGCATATCACTAATTTTCTTGATAAACATCCGGAAAAAAATACAATTCAGATTGGTGAAATAGATACTGCATTAATTCAGTAACAATTGGAAGGCATGAATGGGGAAGACGATGCAGGTAGACTTGCAGTGTTGCATCCTTTGATCATGCCATAAACCCATGATTGTGGGTTTGAATCCCGGTTCATCCTGATCATGCTGATGGGATTATCGGGGCCATACTTGTGCATCACCTTGGGCTTTCTTCACATTTTAAGGAAACATGCTACAGTTGCATCAAACCAAACTCATTCCTTATTAATTATTTGAACAACTTCCGTTGTGCTTTCTTCACAACGCGTTTAGCTATATTCCAACAATATCATTGGTGACATCAGAAATGAGCTTCACACATTGTACCCGTGTGGGGAATCGAACCCAGGTCTACGGTGCGACCAGCAAAACACTTGCCTACCCCACCGCCTCTGACATTCTTTGAGGCAGATCCAGTCAGTTGTCACCAAAGGATCAACACCTTTCTCTGTATCACGTCAGAACATTCCGAGCAGAAATAATGTAATGGGCATTACTGACTGCTTGATACATAACAGTTTAACATCTGAGACCACCAGATGAAACTAAATTGCAAACATGTAATGTGCATTTCCTATTATCTCGTGTAACAGAAATATCCAGTGATGAGTGAATGAGTCTGGTTTTAAGCCGCAGTTGGTAAAGTTCCAGCAATATCATGGTGGGGACACCAGAAATAGGCTTCACACGTTGTGCCCATGTGGTGAATCGAACCTGGGTTTTCGGCATGTCGAGTGAACGCTTTAACCACTAGGCTAATGACAGGTAACATTTTTTAGAAATGCTAAGTTTATAGAGTACTCTAGATAGACCCTGAATGTTCACTTGCCCTTTACAATACAACATAACTTATGATGTTGAATGACGTTCTGTGGCTTCTGGTGTAATTGTTTTGTTGAATTGTTCACAGGTAGCTGCACAGTTAGGTGGGAGAACAAGATGATGTACTGCATCGTCAGCGTCTTCGGCCTGGCCATCTGAACAAACAACATCGCCGACTTGTACAGATACATGCATCTTACATCATTCATTCACAGCTTGTGATACACCTTTACTTTATTTATGTGGACTGTTTGATTGTAATTTTTGTGGAGTTACCATTGTCCCATTTTCTGACTGGAATAACTCTAGATGAGTTAGCATTTGGTGTAGATCTTAGTCCCAGAATATTGGACAATGGAACATCGCATTACTTATGTCATTAAAGACAGTGTTTTATATGTTATAGCTTACTGACTTAGCCTCTGCTTCTGTTTGTATAACTCTGTAGCTACGTGACTTCTATGCTTGGACATTAGGAGATTGGTGAATTGCGTTGCCAAATTTATGTATAAAATGTGGTTATTTGGGGTTTTAACTGTAGGATTCATAATTGTTAAGTAAGAACACTTCCTCTGTTTAGTTCTTTCACTTTTTCTGCAACTTTAATGTGATCATTGAAAAAGAAAATAAATCATCATATTCAGTTTTGGTGGTGTTTTGTCTGAGAAGGTTTGGGTGGGTCAGTGGTCAAAGTTACCACTTAAGCTCCACAGAGTTGTGTCCCTTACATGTCAACAGGGATTTAGTTTGAATCCCAAAGATATTTTCCCAAGGAGGTTAGTAAGACAGCACCATCCCTATAACCTGGGTTATGGTAAACTCCTGAGATATGTCTTAGAGGCATAAAGGGAAAGCATGTTAGTCTGAACAGCACCTTTCCAGTGAAATCCTCTGGATTAACACTCGTGTGGTTCCTTTGGTTATATAGAAGCTATGTTCCAGGTAGGTTTTCCATAAGAGATTTCTCTGGACATATGACCCAATCAATACATTTTTGACAGCTTTCAAGCCTTGAATAGGATTAAAAACATATTTTGTACTTACAGTTAAGATACAGTGTGTGACAGCTGAATATATTGCTACATACAAAAGCAAAAGTGAGTGAGTATGGTTTTACTTTACTTTTAGAAATATTACAGCAACATCACTGCCGGGGACACAACAAATGGGCTTCACACATTGTACCTATATGGGGATCGAATCCGGGTCTTTGGGATGATGAGCGAACGCATTAACCTCTAGGCTACACCGACGTCCCCATACAAAAGCACTTTCGCCTGCCAGTTTAAAGGATCAGTTCTGATCAAATCTCTGAAACTGTTCAATGTCTTTCCAAGGTTCACATTTTGGACTTTGTCATGGCCAAATACATATGGTAAGAATGTTTAACATGAGAACAAAGTGTCAAATTTTAAACTTCAGGAGAGAACATGCTTGTGTTGTTTTCATCTACATGAAAGAAAATCAGCTGGAGTCAAATATTTGCTGGTGTTTATTCATCGAAAATGACTTCCTAAGAACCTCTAAATAAACCTCTGACCGATTATATACAATGTAATTACGTAATTGCAAGGGCGGTAACTTGTATTACCTAAAAAACAAAGCTGCCAGTTATAACTGATATGAAGACATCCTTTCCATCAAATACGTTTCTGTCAGTTATTCAGCATTGAGTGAGTTTAGATTTACACCGTATTCAGCAATATTCCAGATATATGGTGGCAGTCTGTAAATAATCGAGTCTGGGACCAGACAATCCAGTGATCAACAGCATGATCATCAATCTGCGCAATTGGGAACCGATGACATGTGTCAACCAAGTCAGCAAGCCTGACCATCCGATCCCGTTAGTCACCTCTTACGACAAGCATGGATTACTGAAGACCAATTCTAACCCGGACCTTCAAGGGTGTATTCAGCACTGACTGTTTGTGCCATGTTATCATTTTGGCTGGTAAGTCGCAGCCAATCAAATGAGCAAATGGTAATCAAGGGCAGCTAATCTGAGACTACAAGAACGGGAGTAGGTTTACAGATGGGCAAGCCCTGTTCACATAGAGAATGAAATAATTTGGACGAACATTTACACCAAACATACTCATATAATGTACAGTATGATGAGAAAAAAAATTAGAAATAAAATAATGTAAGATTGAAAGCCTGAATAGAATGTTGTCAGTCTCAAAATATTGAAAAGGGACAGATTTTGTACATTACAAAACGTTTTATGGTTCATGGTACAATGACATACATGGATTTGAAGATTGGTCAAAAGTACTCCAGCTCGACTCCAAATAGCATCCCAAACATATTTGTGACTGCCTTGTGCTATGCTTAAAAAACAAACCAACTGGCAGAGAGATATTTTATTCAAATCATACACAGTTAAATGGTGACATACAACACATACAAAGTAACAAATACCATTTGTAACATTTAAAAATACTCAACAAATACAAAATAACCTCTGAGCTACTCATCTCATCTGTATCTCATAATGACATTTTGTGACTTTTTTTTTTTTAATTTCCAAACAGATCTTGGCCCTAGGTCATAGGTTTTGGTTTGTATTACAAAGGGGTATGCGCATTAAATGAAACACCGAAAACATGTAAGGTTGTTCTAAGTTAACACATCACGTACATCACATGCATTTGTTTCACTGTTCTAATAACTGAGCTTACCCCCTTGTAATATATAGAGGAAGTCCTGAGGTACATAATGAAATCCTGAGACTAGAATTACAAAGACTTAACTGGGTGAAAAAGCATGGAATTCTCTCATATTATTCAAAGATGCACACAAAAAATAAAGCCGTTTAAACTGATGCAGGGCTCACGAGAATCAAGCTGATGAAAGTTCTGTCTGGCTTTTTCCGAACTGTTTAAAAATTTGGACAAAAGATACCATAAAACCTATCTACCAACGCCCAAAACATTGCCCGAAATTTCACATGTGGGGTGGGATATCATCACGTGCAGTGATGCCGGTGTGTGTTTTCACTGGAAATTTGACAAAGGAACGATATGTTGACATCTTAAATGATCAGGCTAAAACCTAACGAGGGACACATAAAACCCTGTATACCCCGAATGATAATGCTACAATGAATTTATCTTACCTAATGTTTAAATCTCACATCATGTAAATATAACATTAAAACAAAGTAAAATTCAATCATATATTGAACTAACATGGCTCTGACTAGTCAAACCGAACCACTGGTTCACGGTTCACTGACTGTTGTGGATGCAACCTTTTTCCATGGGGTGGGGTATAAATGATTCTCCCTTGCAAAGATTCATACTCCATTTGGGCAGTGTACATTGTACAGTGGTAATTTGTTCAAGGTCACGTGAATCAATCAGAGATGGACATTCTTACACGAGGTAGGATATTTGGATATTTCAGTATAACGACCCACAGCACACTGCAGGCTACACACTACACAACACAGTGGTTGTTGGATTAAAATGTTCAGCTCTTTAACTGGCCCAGCTACAGCCCAGATCTTAACCCTACTGAGAACGAGTGGGGATTAACGAAGGAGAGAATAAACCACAAAGGACTTAGAAATATTGAGGATATGAAGAAAGAAGTGATCAAATATTGGGATACGCTGTCACACAATTTCCTACAAACTTTGATCGGTAGTTTACCTAGGCGTACTCAGTCTTGTATTGCAGGGCAAGGAGGTCTCACAAAGTACTGAAAAGACACTTAGACTGGAAGAGAATCATATCTCAACATGTTCATTTAAGTAAAACTTCTATAGTTTATATACATGTATTAGTTATTTGCCAAAACAACGTTCTCAACAGTGCCAGGCAGGGTTACCATAAAGTAAGCTTTTAATTATTGTTCACTGTGACATGTCGAACATTCCACTCGTCAGTCAGTTCATAACACCACATAGGCAGCCACACTGTCAATGGAATCATCAAAACATACTACACAAAATCAGACATGTTTAACCAGCCATCAATGTAGGTTTTGTAAAAGCATGAAATCCCTAACATCCTCATTAACAGCTTCATGTTTGTCCACACAAGGGTTATGGGTAGTATAAGGTGGGGTTATGGTGATGCAGACAGGGTATATGGGTGGTCAACGCAAGGGACACAGGTGGTTCAGACAGGCATATTTGGTTTGGACAGGGGGTATGGTGGTTCAGACAAGGATATGGCACTTAAGATAGGGGATATGGTTGTTCACATGGGGTAAACGCTTCGGACAAGGGATATGATAGTTCATGCAAGGAATATGGTGGTTCAGACAGGAGATATGGTGGGTTACATGGGATATGATGATTTGGACAAGGAATATGATGGTTTATGCAGGAATATGGTGGGTTACAGACATGGGACATGATGATTCGGACAAGGAATATGATGGTTTATGCAGCGAATATGGTGGTTCAGACTGGGTATATGGTGGGTTACATGGCATATAATGGTCAAACCAGAGAATTTGGTGGTCAAAACCGAGTATATGTTGATACAGGAATGGGAAAAATGTAGCTCATAGCAAAGGTCCTCATAGCAAAGCAGCAGCTCTACATACTTCTGGTTCTTGATTATTACACAACTCCCATCTCAAGTTTAGTTGCAACAGTTTTACTTCATGACTTGATTAGTCATCATCAGATGAGAAACTTAAGTGTCACTATCACTATCCTGGGCATTTGCACCTTTCATGTTCTTGAATCAGGTCCCTTCTCCAGCAGTGCTAGTATAACTCCATGACAGCAGCCATCACCAGACAAGGTAGTTCAGTCTAAAGCTGTATTACCATCACTTAACATCCGACACTAGAACACTGGTTCCATGCAACATGCTGGAGAGGTATTTCAGCTTTCTTATCCTTAAATCTCACATCAGCTCCCTTCTCCAGCAGTGCTAGAATAACTCCATGACAGCAGTCATCACCAGACAAGGTAGTTCAGTCAAAACAGGGATTTACCTTGAGTCCTACATTTGAGGGTCCATGGGACTCATACTCCTAATTTTCAAGGGTGCTGGACTACAAAATGGGGGTCCCAGACACTTGAATATTATTATTAATTCTATGTTGTAGTATTGTTGTAATTTAGTTACTGTATTGTATTGTGTATCATGATCATCACATTGTTACAGCAATTAAATTGCAAATGATACCCGGCTAGTAGCAGACTCAGTGATAACTTATTGTTACTTGATCGAAATGTTTACAAAAAGTATTAGGACTTTTTCTAAGTCCTTGTGGACAGGCTAATAATATTGTTGCATCCATTGTTAATTTTTATGCCAATAGGACGTAGGAATTCGGGTGCTGTAAATCCCTGGTCTAAGCTGTACCACCATCACCCTACATTCGACATGCAGCATGCTGAAGGAGTATTTGAGCTTTCTTATTCTCGAATCTCACATCAGATCAGTTCTTCAACAGTGCTTGTATTACATCCTGAGAGTGGGGTTAATCAGACGGCAAACTACGGTGTTAAGCTGTTCTACCATTACTATCCTAAGCATTTATCAGCTCCGTTATTACTCAGCGGCAGCTGATAGAAGAAGTAGATCTGACAAAAACACTGCTGTGTCAAGATTTTCTACACTGTCGTCTACATGTACATTGGAGAGGTGTTTGACCTTTTCCGTTCAAGATTGTTAAATTAACCTCCTTTACAAGCAGTGCTTGTATAACTCTGTGACAGTGGGGTCTATATAACAAGGAACTACAGTGTAAAGCTGTATCACCATCATTATCCTGGGCATTTACATCTGACACCAGGAACAAAAGTTCAACTCACTCCATACACTGGTTCCATGCTGCACAGTGGAGAGGTGTTTGGCCTTTCCTGTTCTTGATTCCTGCATCAACCGCCTTCTCCAGCAGTGCTTGTATTACATCAGGAGATTTGGGTCCATTTGAAAAGAATCTGCATCACCATCGCTATCCTTGGTATTTACACTGACAGCACCATTTTTTACACTAAGTGAAAAGCTGTATTAACATTACCATCCTGGACATTTAAGCTGCCATTGAGATTGACAATTTAACACACTCAATACACTGGTTTGTTGCTGCACACTGGAGAGCACACTTGATACATACATCGGCTCTCTTCTCCAGCAGTGCTTGTATCACTTCATGAGTGTGGGGTTTCTTTGACAAGAAACTGTAATGTAAAGCTGTATTACCAATACTATCCTGGGCATTTACATCTGACTTGGAGCAACAACTCAACACACTCAATACACTTCTTCCGTGCTGCACAGTGGAGAGGTGTTTCACCTATCTTGTTCTTGATTTTGAAATCAGCTCCATTCTCCAGCAGTGCTTGTAGCACTTTATGAGAGTGGCATTCATCAAAACAGCCAAACTCACTGCTGAATGGATCATGGAAAACACAATGTAAAGGTGTATTACCATCGCCATCCTGGACATTTACACTCAACAATGGAACCAACAGCTTAACACCCTCAATACACTTCTCCCGTGCTGCACAGTGGAGAGGTGTTTCACCTTTCTTGTTCTTGATTTTGAGCTCCCTTCTCCAGCAGTGCTTGTAGCACTTCATGACAGTTGGGTTCATTAGACAAGAAACAGTAGTGTAAAGGTGTATCACCATCACTATCTGGGCATTTACATCTGATAATGGAACCAACAGCTCAACACATTCCATATATCCGGCCCGTGCTGCATAGTGGAGAGGTGTTTCACCTTTCTTGTTTTTTATTCCTGGAGCATCTACGTTCTTCAGCAGTGCTTGTAGCACTTCATGAAAGAGGCATTCATCAAAACAGTCAAACTCACTGTTGAATGGATCATGGAAAACACAATGAAAAGGTGTATTACCATCAACATCCTGGGCATTTACATCTGACAATGGAAGCAACAGCTTAACACACTCCATACACTTCTTCCGTGCTGCACAGTGGAGAGGTGTTTGGCCTTTCCTGTTTTGCATTTGTACATCAGCTCCCTCCTTCAGCAGTGCTTGTAGCACTTCATGAAAGAGGCATTCATCAAAACAGTCAAACTCACTGCTGAATGGATCATGGAAAACACAAAGTAAAGGTGTATTACCATCGCCATCCTGGACATTTACACTCAACAATGGAACCAACAGCTTAACACCCTCAATACACTTCTCCCGTGCTGCACAGTGGAGAGGCGTTTCATCTTTCTTGTTCTTGATTCCTGCATCAGCACCATTCTCCAGCAGTGCTTGTAGCACTTTATGAGAGTGGGGTTTAGCAGACAAGAAATTGCAAAGTAAAGGTGTATCACCATCACTATCCTGGGCATTTACATCTGACAATCGAACCAACAACTCAACACACTCCATACACTTGTTCCGTGCTGCACAGTGGAGAGGTGTTTGACCTTTCTTGTTCTTGATTCTGACATCAGCTCCCTTCTCCAGCAGTGCTTGTAGCACTTTATGAGAGTGGGGTTTAGCAGACAAGAAATTGCAAAGTAAAGGTGTATCACCATCACTATCCTGGGCATTTACATCTGACAATGGAACCAACAACTCAACACACTCCATACACTTGTTCCGTGCTGCACAGTGGAGAGGTGTTTGACCTTTCTTGTTCTTGATTCTGACATCAGCTCCCTTCTCCAGCAGTGCTTGTAGCACTTTATGAGAGTGGGGTTTAGCAGACAAGAAATTGCAAAGTAAAGGTGTATCACCATCACTATCCTGGGCATTTACATCTGACAATCGAACCAACAACTCAACACACTCCATACACTTGTTCCGTGCTGCACAGTGGAGAGGTGTTTGACCTTTCTTGTTCTTGATTCTGACATCAGCTCCCTTCTCCAGCAGTGCTTGTAGCACTTTATAAGAGTGGGGTTTAGCAGACAAGAAATTGCAAAGTAAAGGTGTATCACCATCACTATCCTGGGCATTTACATCTGACAATCGAACCAACAACTCAACACACTCCATACACTTCTTCCGTGCTACACAGTGTAGAGGTGTTTCACCTTTCTTGCTCTTGATTCTGACATCAGCTCCCTTCTTCAGCAGTGCTTGTATCACTTTATGAGAGTGGCGTTTAGCAGACAAGAAATTGCAAAGTAAAGGTGTATTTCCATCAACATCCTGGGCATTTACATCTGAGTCTGGAAGCAATGACTCAACACATTCCATACACTTCTCCCGTGCTGCACAGTGGAGAGGTGTTTCACCTTTCTTGTTCTTGATTCCTGCATCAGCTCCATTCTTCAGCAGTGCTTGTAGCACTTTATGAGAGTGGGGTTTAGCAGACAAGAAATTGCAAAGTAAAGGTGTATTACCATCGCCATCCTGGGCATTTACACTTAACAATGGAAGCAACAACTCAACACACTCCATACACTTCTTCCGTGCTGCACAGTGTAGAGGTGTTTCACCTTTCTTGTTCTTGATTCTGACATCAGCTCACTTCTTCAGCAGTGCTTGTAGCACTTTATGAGAGTGGCGTTTAGCAGACAAGAAATTGCAAAGTAAAGGTGTATTACCATCAACATCCTGGGCATTTACATCTGAGTCTGGAAGCAATTACTTAACACACTTCATACACTTGTTCCGTGCTGCATAGTGGAGAGGTGTTTCACCTTTCTTGTTTTTTATTCCTGCATCAGCTCCATTCTCCAGCAGTGCTTGTAGCACTTCATGAAAGAGGTATTCATCAAAACAGTCAAACTCACTGCTGAATGGATCATGGAAAACACAATGTAAAGGTGTATTACCATCAACATCCTGGGCATTTACATCTGACAATGGAAGCAACAGCTTAACACACTCCATACACTTCTTCCGTGCTTCACAGTGGAAAGGTGTTTGGCCTTTCCTGTTTTGCATTTGTACATTAGCTCACTCCTTCAGCAGTGCTTGTATCACTTCATGACTGTGGGGTTCATCAGAAAAGGAACTGAAGTGTAAAGCTGTATTACCATCAACATCCTGGGCATTTACATCTGAGTCTGGAAGCAATGACTCAACACACTCCATACACTTGTTCCGTGCTGCACGTTGGAGAGGTGTTTCACCTTTCTTGTTCTTGATTCCTGCATCAGCTCCATTCTCCAGCAGTGCTTGTAGCGCTTTATGAGATTGAAAACAGCGAAACTCACTGCTGAATGCATAATGGCAAACACAATGTAAAGGTGTATTACCATCAACATCCTGGGCATTTACATCTGACAATGGAAGCAACAGCTTAACACCCTCAATACACTTCTCCCATGCTGCACAGTGGAGAGGTGTTTCATCTTTCTTGTTCTTGATTCCTGCATCAGCTCCATTCTCCAGCAGTGCTTGTAGCACTTTATGAGAGTGGCATTCATCAAAACAGCCAAACTCACAGATGAATGCATCATGGAAAACACAATGTAAAGGTGTATTACCATCGCCATCCTGGACATTTACATTCAACAATGGAACCAACAGCTTAACACCCTCAATACACTTCTTCCATGCTGCATAGTGGAGAGGTGTTTCATCTTTCTTGTTCTTGATTTTGAAATCAGCTCCCTTCTCAAGCAGTGCTTGTAGCACTTCATGACAGTTGGGTTCATTAAACGAGAAACAGTAGTGTAAAGGTGTATCACCATCACTATCCTGGGCATTTACATCTGACAATGGAACCAACAGGTCAACACATTCCATAGATCCGGCCCATGCTGCATAGTGGAGAGGTGTTTCACCTTTCTTGTTCTTGATTTTGAAATCAGCTCCATTCTCCAGCAGTGCTTGTAGCATTTCATGAAAGAGGCATTCATCAAAACAGTCAAACTCACTGCTGAATACATCATGGAAAACACAATGTAAAGGTGTATTACCATCAACATCCTGGGCATTTACATCTGACAATGGAAGCAACAGCTTAACACACTCCATACACTTCTTCCGTGCTGCACAGTGGAAAGGTGTTTGGCCTTTCCTGTTTTGCATTTGTACATTAGCTCCCTCCTTCAGCAGTGCTTGTAGCACTTCATGACTGTGGGGTTCATCAGAAAAGGAACTGAAGTGTAAAGCTGTATTACCATCGCTATCCTGGGCATTTACATCTGACAATGGAAGCAACAGCTTAACACACTCCATACACTTCTTCCATGCTGCACAGTGGAGAGGCGTTTTACCTTTCTTGTTCTTGATTTTTACAGCACCTCCCTTCTCAAGCAGTGCTTGTAGCACTTCATGACTGTGGGGTTCATCAGAAAAGGAACTGAAGTGTAAAGCTGTATTACCATCACCATCCTGGGCATTTACATCTGACAATGGAAGCAACAGCTTAACACACTCCATACACTTCTTCCATGCTGCACAGTGGAGAGGCGTTTTACCTTTCTTGTTCTTGATTTTTACAGCACCTCCCTTCTCAAGCAGTGCTTGTATTACTTCATGAGAGTGGGGTTCATCAGACAAGGAACTGAAGTGTAAAGCTGTATTACCATCGCTATCCTGGGCATTTACATTTGACTCTGGGAGCAAGAGCTTAACACACTCCATACACTCATTCTTCGCTGCACAGCAGAGACGTATTTGAACATGCCATTTTTGTTGATGAACAAAAAACATATCGAAAGGACCTGGAATATCAGCTTGAGCCTCTGCACCTGCAGCATAATGGAGCGCTCTGCGCTTCACGTGATCTGTCAAGTTGACAAAGTCTTCATCATTAGTTGAATTCTTTTTGAGCAATAGCTTCAGCTTTTTCTTCTGGTCAACACAAGATTTCAATGCAAAATGAAATGGAGTCGACCCTCGTTTGTCCACTGATAACTCTGCTCCATGTTCCAGTAGTAATTCAACACCATCAGCACCACCATACATACAAGCCAAATGTAATGGTGTCCGACCAAATTCATCAGTCACATGTATATCATCACATGATCTGAGCAACAGTTTCCTTAACACAGATGGGTCTTTGTGGCTAGATGCAAGACTTATCTTTCTGGAATCCAATTGTCCACCACCTTCTTCAAGAAGTGTCATCACCTCAAGTATATCATGTCCAGCATTTGTGGTCATTTGTGTAATCCCCCTGTGGCCATTGCCATTGATTTTAAGCAACAATTCTAAGCAATGGCTGTAAAACTGGTCATGGTCTCCACTTAGAGCAGTGAGTTTTGGACTTAAAACCCTGATCACTGTCTTATTGCAGGAAATAACTGCAATACTTAAGAGAAGTTTCAGATTTGTTTCATTGTCTTCTATCTGACTAATGATAGTTGATGAGGTATTTGCATCTAGTTGTGGCCAGTTACAAAGTGAGATAAAACACAACATGTTTGGTTTAGCTCCACTTGAAAGAAGGGCTGTTGCTAAGTCTTTATCACAAGTAAACAAAGCACAAAGCAAGGCTTCATTTAAAACGGGATGAATGTCCTCCGAATTACAACTACGAAGTAACTGAATCTTACGTGAAGCAAACTCCTTCATGTGATTCATGATAACATAGGAGAGAAACAAATTATATTCAAGAATGTTGACAGTTTGTGGCAAACCTAGTTTTCCACTAAGAGGTAAAGCAAAAAGTTTGACAACTTTCTCTCCGTTGTGCCTGCACAGTTGGTATATGTCATCAGTTTTCCATTCACGAAAGATCACACGTAAAAACTCTGTGTCTTGTAAAGCTGGGTGAGACAGCACAACGTATCGAGTTTTCTCATTTGACAGATATTCCCTCAGTTTATCAGCCAAAATTGGATAATCTTCTTCATCTAGAAAAACAACATTACGTTGCTTGCATCTTTCCAGTTTCTGTTTATTGATTCGAATAAATTCTAGCAGCATGACTGGTGTGCTCATTCTGATTCCTAAAGCAAGACTATCTTCACACAGGGCTACAAACAAGACATCATGTATTGACCTGTGTGAGAATAGGAAACATCTGGAAGCTTCTGAAAGATATATCCCACAGACTGATTTTGCTACATCCCTTATGTCAGCCTTGGACAGACATGTTTTCTTCAGCCTACAATGGGATGAAATGGTTTTAAACTGCCTTTCAAATTTGTCCTCATGCTCTATTGACATGAGCTCTTTCATGGAAAGTCGTCCTTCATTCATGAAAACCAACAGCAACACAAAATAAACTTCAGGTTGCGCCTTCTTAACACACTCAAACAAATCTTTTATAAATTCAAAAGGTTTCTTGAAAAATTCAACTCCTTTCAATCTTGCATCCTTATTTGCTGCAAAGAATGTACAGCATTGTGGGAATCCCAAAGTAGTGTCCATATTGGCAATTTCTTTCATGTCTTCCTTCCTTACATCTTTTCCACACAAGATCTCAAGGAATTGTAATTTTTCTGACTCTCGGAGACGGTACTTTCCTTCATCAAGAACGATCTGTTTTGCCTTATTTATTACTTCATATCTAAATATTTCTGGTTCTCCTTGAGAAATGATCTCTGGACGTGAAGTCATCACTAACCAAATCTGTCCAGACTCCACAAGAGGCCACACTAGGTCAAACTTTTGCCTCCACTCATCAAGGCTTGACTGGATCAAATTTGTTCGCCCAAAAATGTCATCAACCATTACAACATACTTTTTAGCATCAGACGTCCTTGATTTGTGTATGTAATTCCACTCTTTTGGTGATGACACCTTCACCGGTATCCTTGAACATGATTTTGCAACCCTTTCCAACAAAGTATACCCGAGATGTGACTTCCCGGACCCTGATCTTCCCTTGATGATGATACTGCCGCACGTCTTCAGATGTCGGAATGCAGCCCTCTCTGTGTATGTTGAAACATTTGTGGGATCTCTTGATCTGATCTTCATCTCAGTTTCAGCTGAAGTAAGAAATTCATTTTAGTCCCGGTAATTGTGATATGAGTTATAATTCTTGTAATGTTTCTAGATTTTTAGATATCAAACAAATACAGTCGAGCACCGTTGTGTCGAACTCTGATAACTCGATATCTCGGTTGTCTCGATATAACATCTCTGTCCCGGCAAAATCCTTCATAATTTATCATTATTCAAGCTCTTTTAACTCGATACAGACGTCTCAATATGTCGTATATCTCGACATAATTTGATGGTCCCAACAAGCAAAATTACCCTTTTAATTCGATATTTGCACAGAAACTTGATATTCACCTACCTATCATGGGCAAGTATCCCTCTGAACTGAGGTTGTTTCCACACGTCTACACAAGGTGCAGCATGAATCAAAGGGATGCAGTTGTCTAAACTAATTAGGGCTAATTGAGTTGAAGGTGTCACTTGTTTGTTGTTTAATTAGGATTACTTAAGAAGGAAGTACTCACTGTTACGAATAAACACTACTGATAACAAATTATATTTTCGAATCCAAACATACTGAGAAGAATTTTGTTTTCTTTCACAGTGATATGTGATGACATGCTCTGGTCGGATGTCTCGATGTTCGGATAACTCGAAATTTTTTCTTAGTCCCATAAATATTGAGACAACGGTGCTCGACTGTATATACTGATACCGAACAAGTCCTGGTATGACAATTTTATCAGAATGAGAGAATTCAAAACTTATTGAACAAGCAAACACAAAAGTTTATGGTATAAAGACACAATCTTCTTAAAATCACATCTCTTACTACACCAGATCTCTGTTATATATTTAGGAATATACACAAACAATATTATAATAGATACATATAAAGCACTTACTGATCAAATGTTGAAGAAGTGAACATTCGGCTGCTGAAATGCAAAATTTATTTATTATTTTGTTTTGTTAAAATTTAGGATTGCAAAATGAATAGATGTGTGCTACAATCAATAAATATATAGTAATAGGTATTGGGTACCGGAGATTTTGTGAACTAATCACTGGCAGTGACTAGTTCGTTGATAAGCTTTTCCTTCTCAATCATGATTAGAAACAAAATTGGAGATACAAGGCTCTTTGGCTCACCAAACTTATGGCAGCCATGTTGAAAGTTGGACAAGAATTCTGTATGTAATTTCTGGAGACAGCACTAGAGGGATCCAAACATGGCATTAATTGTATATGTTAGTGTTACTCTTCTGAAAATACACCACAGCTAAAAATCATCAATACAAAGTTTCAGATCATAAATCAAAATATGTTTTAAAAAACAAGGCATTGGTGCAAGGTGCTAACTCAAGTGCTGAGTAGGTCCATTATCATGGTTCACATAAAAACAACCTTTCATCTGACCAATCAGGGCGATGCTTAACAAAGTGACATTCAGAATCTGTTCCTGCAACCTTGAAAAGTTTTCTACATGGTATGCTGAATGACAGCTACAGACTGTATAACTGCTTCTGTCAGAATAGGGGCGGTGGGGTAGCCTAGTGGTAAAAGCGTTCATTAGCTGAAAGCCCAGGTTCAATCCCCCACATCGGTACAATGTGTGAAGCCCATTTCTGGTGCCCCTGCTGTGATATTGCTGGAATATTGCTAAAAGCAGCATAAAACCACTCACTCACTCACTCACTCACTGTCAAGACAATGATCTCTTGCTTCAGTTGGATAAACAGTTGAAACTTTCCACAGTCCAGGGGAAGTACTGCTATACAGCCTCGATAGACATTCAAGAATTTTCTTTTGTTCTGTTTTCAAATTTTGAATCAACAAATTTCATCAAGAAATTTTGAAAGATAACATAATTGAATGGAAGTTTGAAACTTGGTACCTGTTCCAAATCATCAATGCAATGTTTCAGCTAATAAATAAAAAAATGTTAAAAAATGTATCATACCACACACTTTTTCCATATACATTTTTGTAAATACACATGCAGACAAAGTCTGCAGTCTAGACTACCAGTTATCCAACTTTCATTCCGTGGAAGTCGAGGTGGCTGAGCGGGTTAGGCGGCTGACTTTGTGTGCATTTGATTAGGTGCCTGACTCTGAGGGTGTGGGTTCGAATCTCAAGTGGGACTCAACTCAAAAAGTACTAGAATTTGTACGTTACTAAGAAAGTGTAATCCCAAATATAACATGTACATTTGACCACTTTCTAAATGGCATTGTGTAATCACATGCAGAAGTCCCTCACTAAATGCCAACAATGGAATTTTCAAAATCATGAATATGAGCCATGTTGAAAGTCAGTCTCATTAAAATCCCAGTCTCATTCTGTTATGGTTCACATCACAATGACCTTCCATCAAACCAATCAGAGCAATTCTTAACAAAGTGAAAGAAGAAACCTTCCACAGTCCACTGCCATACACTTTCAGCCATTAGATAGACATTCCAGAATTTTCTATTGTTCTGTTTTCAAATTTTGAATCAAGAATTTCATCAAAGCATTCTGATGACCAATGTTACCTTGTTTGGTATTTCACTGGTAGTTCAAAGTTCATACAAGGTCATTCTGACATGACCTTAAATGGGATTTCCTCAGGCATGTTTCTGCAGCAGTGAAGACTAAGATTTAGTTTTAACGAGATCGGTTCAAAAAAGCTGCATTGGAATTCTGTTAGCAGTATGTAGAGCAACTACCGCTGGTATCATTCATATTGTCAGTTTTCAGTTCCACGGAGCTTGTAGTTTCATAAGAGGTACCTGTTTTAAAGTACCTTTGAAGTCAAGACGACAAATCACTGTACTTTAAACCTTCAAATATAACGTCATCAAGTGTGATCTTCTTGAATTTAAAAAAACATTTACCTGGATAATTCACAATCACACCTGCCACATTACTATTGGAGACCGTTCCACCACTCACACCAGTCACAGAGTCTGAAACACATCAACATAATTCATATTAAGCAAGTTTATTTTAGTGTTGATTGCTGGATCGATGAGGACATCATCATAATCAGGTTTTCATACAAACTAGAAAGGAAGGAAAACAAGTTATATATTATGAATATGAATTGTTGAATATTATTTCTGGGTTTAAAATAATATTTTGAGCCATTGTGTTCTTACTAGGGCTGGCTAAAGGGCGTAAAGGACTGATCATCAGAAAATATTTAAAGGAAAAAATAAATTATGAACAATTATGTATCTATATGAAAATTGTGACACTGATAAGCTGACAATAACATACATACACTATTGTCATGAAATGAAGACTTAATTTACACACACAATACACAAAGTTAAGTCTTTATGGGTGAGACGCTTCTAAATTGTGTCTAAACTACTGTTTTTTGTTAGAAATCCATGCACAAATGTGTCACCACTTACTAGTCACATGAAATATATTTGTTACTAACAGGTTATCAGTCACATTGGTGTCCTCCCAATTGTGAGAACTCCCAGTTGTGAGACACATTAATTAGTGGTTCAGTGCACATAGGTGGTGTTTCCACATCCCTACAATGAAAGTGGGATCAGCCCAGTTGTTGAAGAGTACCCACAGGAGGCATAGTTCATTGATGAGTTGATTAATGAAATAGATTATCAAAGATTATATTTACACAGAAGAAATAGTTCATTGAATATTTTATTTATTCAGAAGAATGTGTAATTATGATAACACATTTTTATTGACTATTATGAAGTTTGAAAGTCATTTTGGTTTAAACATGTTTTATTATTTATGAAAATGAATTGGGATTCATGAACAAGCATTACTGCTTGTGTTAACACTGCTCCCATGCAACATAAAATACAAAATGAAATGGAGGATGTGACGTCATCAATATTGACTATTGCATAAATATATTTTTAAGTACATATAAATATATGCAGATTACATCAAATACAACTATCCTCTAAGTAGTCATAATTAGAGAGTTACAGTTTGTGTGTTTAACAAGCTATTGTAGGAATATAAATCAATCATGAGAAGGTTGTTGAGTTAATTTAAGTATTTTCCTGAGAAAATTTGAAGCGTTGTGTCCTGATGATGTAATCGTGGATGGATTCAACTATTTTCTGCTTTACACAAAGTGTAAATTCTTTGTTTCTGTTCGAAATGGTATCCAGGTGATAACGGGTAGTGTAAAATACATATTAATTCTTATCAAGTGAGAAAATAGTGTAGGGCGTTTTCACTGATTTCGACAAGAGCAACATGAGTAGTAGACAGGATGACAGTCCTGGATCAAGGTAGCTAAAGCTTTATTACATAGATAAAGCTTTAGTCGGATACCTTATTTTTACTGTCATTACCTGTACAGAAAGCCTTATTTCCTAAATAATGCTTTAGTTGGATCAAGCTATGAAAATGTTTATTTGATCAAATATCCTCTATGTCGTGTCGACGGGAGGTAACACTGTGTCATACGGTACGATCAACAATTCTTCTCTCACAAACCCCCTCCCTGGCCCATCCCTCAAGTAGTACAAGTTAGGCTCGTCTGCTTTGATGTCAACTTTATCTATGACACTATGTCATGTTTACCTCGACGAAACAGTTTAATGTAAATCGTCTGTTATATTTTTGGTGTTCGTTATAAAGGCTTGCCGGGCTTTTTCCACCCCTTGTTCTATGTACTTTTTTTTCTCGTCCTCACTTATAGCAGACTTACGAGACTTGGATCGAATATCTTGTTTCATTTTATCATATTTTGTGAGTTCAGAGAGGATTGACCGAAACTCCTCCTCCGAGATCTTACTGTCAGTGAGTGCCATGGAAATACGCTCACTCACCGTGTTTAACTTCGCTTCGGCCAGAACCCTGATCTCGTCATGCTTCAATGCCTTACGATGCAGTCTGCGAGATACAAATTTAAATACCAATCCAGCCAACCCTGACACCCCAGCCGTTATTTCGAGTCCCAACACTATGGGTGCAGCCACGATGGTTGTCAACAACCCAACACCTACTGCTCCTAGTCCCATGCTGGTTGCCATAAGGGTAGTATCAGTCCCATCCACGATGTTGAAAGCTCTATGGTATTTTTTATATAGAGATTTCCGCGTGTCACGGTCTTGTTCTAGTTGACGTTTTACATCACATAACTGTCTCAAGCGAAACCCGTCTACGGTTTCCAGGGTCTTCGCTACTTCATCTATGCCTGGGTATAGCCCCATTCTGTGTGTCTATAATATATCTGATAAAATATTTTTAATTGGGGATCAGTTAATACCGATCAACGCATGCTTGAAGTTTATAAGGCCTACGTTCTCGGTATCTCAATAGAGGAAAGGTCAATAGGTAAAATTGGGAACTTCTAAATATACAGGAGCTGAAAAAGGGGCAGCAACCCTCACCATCCTGTCGTGATAACGAGACTACAATAGCTGCCTTTAGTGGCCTGAATAGATGGTCTTATTAGCACCCCAGATAAAAGGTTCCATGAGGACCCACGGGTATTTTTTAAAAAGAGTGTTACGATTAATGTGGAGTCTGGAGGCATAAGCTTAGGCAATGGTGGTAGGTTAGAGTATATATTAAATGATAACCGTGCATTCCCCCCGGTTGCATCTAACATGTAAACCAGGTGATCTGGGATTTGGGAAATTCTAATTTTTTCAGGGCCGCTGGATCTAAACCCCCCAAGCAAGATACCGCTGTTCTTAATTTCATCGATCTCCCTAGATCCATGATTACTAAAAGAAACGTAAGGTGTGGTGAGGGTTATATCGAGCAACCATTTGGGTCCTCTAAAGTGTTTGTGCAGGAGCCAATGGTCTATTTTCTTCCGCTTATACACGTTGTCTATCAAGCGTAGGACGTACGAGGTGTCATTCTCGCCAGGTTGATCGAATCCCTCTACACCCCCTAGATCCCCGAGAGTGATTTTGGGCAGATGATCAACCATTGCCGCCCGCCTATACACGTTGTCTTTCAAGTGTAGGACGTATGAGCCACCTTCCTCACCAGGCTGATCGAATCCCTCCGTGTCCCCTAGATCGTTAAGTGTAGTGTTGGGACGAAGCCAAGACATTGCTATAATACTATTACGATATAATTTCCAACTGTTTTTCTGATAATAGTTCAGGAGTGAAGTACAACCCCATAAAATGTATATTGTCGGGTAGGAATATCTTGGTTAGTGATATCACGTCTTCCACGATCACGTTGACTCCCTGCAGACTGGTTTTGGAGTCGACACCAACCCGCACGTAAACATTACAAACGTGATACTGTTGTTGTTTCCCCACCGAGTTTTACCCCTTCACGCATCTCTACATCATTCGCCGATGGTTCTCCTAGGTATACTTGAATGACCAGTGTTGAGTTCGGCCGGTATACTCTCCAGGATCTTGATCACGCTTCAATTCAGACACCAACTGCAATACAACGCTTTTGCATGCTCGGTTTACTCGATAGCATGTGGGATGGTGTACTGGCGACTGGACTGATGATTACGCTTCGCCTCTGAGCCGGAATGTAAGCCACTAGCAGGGTTCCGTTGTTAACGACTTTGTTTAGGTAGTTGTCTTTATTATCCGTGAACACGTAGGGGGAGCCGAGCTTAATATTGAGAATCCAGTCGGCTTTATCGGGTAATAACACCCACTTGTCATCGTCGGTGAAGACTAGCGTATAAGGCTTGTTTCGGGCGACGGTAGTTCTCTCAACATCGTCTAAATCGAACAGTTTACCTCCGAACGATGGGTATATTATCCAGTCATCACCGGTGTTGACAAGGGTGTACTTAGTGTTGACGACCGCTCTTGTGGTATCTACAATATCGCTTAGGTTGCTAGTACCACCGGAGGGAACTTCAACGCGTTTGTAAATGCTGTTTTTTAGTTGCAAAGCATACAATTTACCATCTACTCCGGGTCGTCGAATCGCTGTGTGTCCTCGTAGGTCGGAGATCCCCACATTGATGCATTTTTAACTTCATTCCGGGGCCTTGTGCTGGTCATTTTATGTGCAGTGTTACGCTGAGGTATCCTATATTCACGAGATTATGATTTATATCTAACAACCGATATTATCAATTCAGGGATATTACCTTGGGTTAACCTCTTATATTGCCACGTTGAAAATCCATTCGGTTCTGCCGTCGTTGTATTTTCGCTTTTAACCGGCACTGCTCTAAGTATAGTGGAAGGGTGGCCTCCTTGAATATTGTCCGTTGTGCTAACCTGGTTGAGATGAATGCACAGCTCTCGGTACGGTACTAAGTCGGGTAACTTCGCGCCTGTGACTGTAGTCGTTGGTTTTACCTCGTCAGGCGGCATACCGAGTGTTCTCGCCAATGGTCGGCCGAGCTTCAAGGAGTTTCTTCCATTGTTGATTAACACCACTGTGCCGTTTGAGTCGTTCATCTTGAGTTCGGCTCCCAGTGGTTTGAATACCTCATCGCTTAGAGAGCACACGCTGTAGTAACCGTCAATTATCTTGTGACTAACGCTAAGACAGTGCACGCTTGGTTGAACAACCCTATGCAGTTCTGGCAGAATCAACTCAACTTCGCAGTGTGGTGCGCTACAACGGGGTGTGGTGTGACATTGACCGACACTCGGCGTGGACCGCTGAGTCAGTCTGTGTTCACGTTTCACGTGTACTACCAGGTCAGGCATATCCTCAAAGAGATCAGCGCTTCGCTCTCACAGGAAAAAGCGTGGAATGCAGTAAACAACCAGTACGATAGACGGGCCTACGAACGTATTTGCAACGAATTCGAATCGACACTAAAACGGATTGGCGTTTTGCCTGGACCGAACCACGGATTGGGTATTCCTATCGTTCACAACATGCCTCGCGGGAAGCCAGCGAGAAGTTGCAAGATTGGGGATACAAGTCGTATCATCATATCACAACCAACGAAAGTGGGATGACCGTTACATGGCATTCGACGACAGCAAGGATTACCGAGTCTGGAGGTTCGAGCAGGGGTGATTGGAAAAATTCATGTTGGAATCGAAAGGGTATACTCGTCGTGCGGCACCTAACGCTTGAATGACTCCATTCAACGCATCGCATTATGGGCACTGTTGATGCGCAGACGCTAAAAAGCGCTCAAATATCCTAGGCAAAGGGACTGCTTACGACGCACAGAAACAATTCGTTGTCAACGTAGAGGATGCTATCAATGCTCCAGTTGATCTACCGAAGTGCTATCAAACGCTACCAAGAGGCGTGTTGGAGTATGCCAGGTCGAAAAGTCGACTCACGCGTGTTCGACGTGGGACTGTACATGGCTCCGGCGATATGCAACTGAGAATAAAGAAAGTGGTGGGCTACAACAACGAAATAATTGTAGCCACGGGCGACCAAAAGTTGGCGTCAACCTCGATGTCAACGTCCCCCACGTCCCACCACCCCCGACCGGTGAAACGGGTATAGTGGCATCACCACCGGAGCCTAGGGTTCAACCAACACACCCAGTGGGGTCACCCCCACACGTTCTGGAGCAGCACATCGATAATAAAACAGCAATGGTGGTTGGTGGGGTGGCTTTGGGTATTATTTGGTTAAAAATTTCTTAGCCGCTACGTACACCAAACCAGCTACGGCGACGATAGCTGCCCACAAGTTTTGACTGAGCCACGTAGCAGTTTTAGCTAAAGCACTCAGCAACCACGAGACTATGCTACCCAGGATGCCAGGCAGTGCTTCGGCGGCCTTACCAGCCAGTTTAGCTAGAGTTTCCCCTAGTTTTTTAATCCAGTTACCACCTGTTGGAGTGCCACTACCACCGCCGCCACTTGGGGGTGTGGGGGTACCCCCACTCAGTGACACCACCAGGGTAGATATGATGAAGCCCAATGCAGTCAAAATGCTGGCGATGGTGATACCTTGCTCCCGGAACAGGATCCGAATCCTGTCAGCTAGCGTGGTGTCTTGGTGGAGGACTCGATCAACGGTTTCCCGCACACGACTGACCTGGGATCGAAGCTGTTCTCGGAAGGAGGAGGCCGTTTTTAGCCGGGTCTTCTTTTCCTCTTCCAAATTACGATTCGTTCCTCAATGGTGGCTTTCAGAGCTTCGTCCTCCGCTTCACCGAAGTTTGGCTTTTTCATGGGCGATGTGGTCGCCTATTGGCGTCCAGTTTGGCCGTGTTGTTT